CTCGTTTCATCCGCTCTTAACTCCGACGTGTAAACACTGTCGGCCAGTGCATCGGACTTTGAAAGCAAAGTGCACTGGCTCGTTAGACCGTCTGGTCCACTTGGATCATCCGGGGGGGTCTCGTCCGCACGTGACTGACGCGCACACATACCGCGCCCGTAGCCTGCCGTTGGCGGCTATTTGGGCTGCAGTGGTACTCTCCGTTGCAGGGGGCTTATAAAAACACAAATGTACTCAAGAATATATCAGAGGCACTTTTACATATATGTCTGACTGCATACACGAACGCCTTACTCATCACCAGCAACTTGGCGGTGCGCAGGCGGTCACTTCCTCAGGGAGCGTGTAGATCACGTGCGAATGAGGCCCCCCTGGATGATCCAAGTGGACCAGACATTCTAGCGAGAGACTGCACATCACCATTGATGTCCGACGCAGTCTCCGACCGGCGAAGTCCGGGCGCGCTAGAATGGCTGGGGACGAGACTACTGCATGAGCACATTGCGCCTGCGCACCCAAGCAGATCGAATCGGGCCGTCAGGCACAGCCGCGTCAATGGGCGAAAGAGCATTGGTAGAAAGCAAAATGCGAGAATTGTTTAAGCAGACGGGCCATTCCGATGACCACTTCATACACTTGTTGTCGAGCTTGACGGCCGTGTGGTCACTATAAACAACCAGATATGAAGATGAGACGAGAGGCGCTGGGATCGCGCAGGCGAAGACGACAGCGAAGAAAGTCTAGACGGTAATAGTTCCGCTGCGGCTGGAAGCATAGCCGACTGCCAATTTCTGGTAGGGCGTCGGTCATCGCAAATCTTAGAGGTGCGCCACTTACCTCTGGGTCCGGGTAGCTGCTCAGTAAGATAGACATGCGTGCCGGCGACGAAACTTTGGTCGTGCCGAAAGCATGACAGATGCCTTAACGAACGTAGAGCAGTCACGTTCGACGGATCAAAGGCTGGGAACAACAGTTCCCCACTCTTTGCGGTCTTATCCGAGATGTTTGTTTCTATAGGGCGCAAATTCTTGCACGTGTTCATCATGATGGGCTCTGCCTCTAGACGATGTCAACAACGGAGTACGTATACATCTGAACAGCACGCGCCCCTGCTAAACCCCAGTGAGAATCCCACCTACCTGGCTGCACTCGGACCTACCAAGGTATACGGACGGAGACCGAAGGTTACCAATATCTACTCTCTTCGCCCTCTGATCTCAGTTTTCGCCTTTTGCTGTTTTCTTGTCTTTGACCATATACCTGTATCTACTTTGTTCTCCCACATTTTTATTCTGTTGTCGTTACAATTATCAACACTTGTGCGCCTTTGGGATGGTCAGTGCCCTTCGGCGCTTGCAACATTTCTCTCGCGCGTCCCTGCCCCAAATTGCTATATCTTTATTCACGACGTTGTTCTCTCCAGACCGCGCACCTTCTTCATGTAATACACCCTCTAATATCATTACTTTGACTTCTCCAACTCTTACTCGTGTGTTATGTGGCGAATAAATGAAGCCGGCCGCCGTGAATACCTTTGTAACTGCAAGATACATTGCAAACAGGCGACATGGTTGCCAAAATCCACCTACCACCTCCACCAAGCCCTCCTGGACAAAGAAGAAAGGGCATATTTAGATGCAGCAGAGGCTACTACAGCAAAACGTGCACGGGATCCTTCCGAATCTCTAGAACCCAAGCAGCCTGTCCAAGGTGGACAGGCGAGTCCTGTAAAGCGCACGTGACCTTCTCCTGGGGAGGATCCTAGTGAAGAGGCAAAAGATGTCAATGTGGAGATGGATCTGGTATGTATTTGCCCTTCAATCCATTGTAACGTGCTCACCTTGCTGGCTTTCTTAGCTCAATCAGCTTGAGTTCCGCCAATCTCTTACACCTGAACATGATTGTCCCCTCACTCCATTACTTCGACCATCTGCACAACCTGAAGAGCACAACTTTTCTGTGCCACCATCGTGACCCTGGGAGGAGTCTCAGCCTGAGCCAGATGACGATGACGAGGCTGACTCTGCTTCCGGACAGCCCGAGTTGATGCTACCAGATGCTCGGCGGCCTGATCACGGAAGCTACATTGACCATGTGCTAGCTGAAGAGGATGAAAAAGATGAAGAAGACGAACCTCACAGGCCTTCTGAGCTCAACGAGCCTGTGTTCACTACGAGCCACCACATCAAAGATCTTGAAACTGCACAGCAGTTTATCACAGCTCTTCAAGATGCTGCCCTCGAAACTGACCTATCGTCTGCTGTCATAGAACGCCTTCGCCATCCTCCACAAGAGGCTTTAGAGCTTGAAGACGCTACCGAGCGCCTTTCGATCGAAGTTTACTTGGGCCTCGAGAATGCTTCGCAACACCACTACCATATTATTTGTGACGCTATCTTGCGCTTTGATCCAAGCTGTGAGATGCTTTCATTTGATGCAGTCAAGCGCCGCATTGAAGAGCTTAGTGGTATTGTTCCTGTCTATCATGACATGTGCTTTGACAGCTGTGTCAGCTTCACGGGGCCGTTTGAAGACCTTGAGCAGTGCCCAATGTGCTCAAAGCATTGCTACGACCAAGCCGAACATGCACGCTCCAGCAAGAAAGTTCCTGTCAAGCGTTTCCTTACGAATTGTATGGGACCTGCTATTCAAGCAATGTGGCGCTCTTCCATTGGTGCAGAGGGTATGAGCTATCGTGCACGTTGTACTGCCAAGATCATGAAGGAGATAACGCGGCAGGCTGAACACCAAGATGGCAACTTCGAGTTCTCTCCTCCTGAGCTTGACAACTATATACACGGCACGGACTATCTCGAAGCTGCCCTCAATGGGTTCATTGGTGAAGACGACACGGTTCTTATGCTCTCGCTTGATGGTGCACAGCTTTATTGCAACAAGACATTTGATGTTTGGATATACATCTGGGTTCTCATGGACCGCAGCCCTGATACCTGCTACAAGAAGCAGAACGTCTATGTTGGCGGCGTCATTCCTGGCCCCAACAAGCCAAAGAATATTGACTCATTTTTGTTTCCAGGCTTCCGCCATCTTGCCGCCCTTATGAAAGAAGGCCTCGTGGTTTGGAATGGTGCTACGCAGCGGCTCTTTTGCTCAGACCCATATATCATTGCCTTCGGAGCAGATCAAATTGGCATGACGCAGATGACAGGCCTTGTTGGACACCATGGTCGCTTTGGCCATCGGCTCTACTGCCCTTTTCCTGGACGGTGCAAAGATAGGAGCGGCCACTACTTTCAGGCAACTCAACTTCCACACAATCATCGCGTCAACAATTCTGATCATCCTGATGTCAATGTTGGTGTCCTTATTAACGAGACATATGCAGAGAAGACTCACTGATACAACAACAATCTGCAGCAGCTTCTTTCAGGTTCACGGTCTCAGGCTGCCTACAAACGCATTCGCCTTGAGACAGGCATTTCCAAGCCCAGTATTGTAAGCGGCTTCCCATTACACCATACTCTTGGCGTTCCAGGTTGCTTTCAGAGTGACCTGTTCCATCTCGTGTCTCTCAACATACCTGATTTGTACCTTTCCCTCCTCCGGGGAACTATCAACTGTGATAACCAGGATAGTAAAGACACTTGGGACTGGGCCATTTTTTGCAATGTTCCACTTTGGGAGCAACATGACAAGGAAGTTGCAGCCACTTGACCGTATCTTTCTGGGTCCTTTGATCGTCCACCACGCAACATTGCGGAGAAACTCAACAGTGGCTACAAAGCTATCGAGTTTTAGCATTATCTTTATGGCCTTGCGCCTGCTTTGCTGTATGGTCTCCTTCCGGAGAAGTACTGGCGTCACCTCTGCAAGCTCGTTCGTGGAATGCACATTCTACACCAACGCCGAATAATTCAAACTGATGTCACAGCTGCTCACAAGCTTCTCCTCAGCTGGTCACAAGACTTTGAGACCCTCTACTGCCAACGCAAGACATCACGGCTCCATTTTGCATGTCCTAGCACCCACGGTCCAGTTCATACCGGTCCCGAAACCCTTCGGCGTGGCCCCAACGCAAACTTGAACCAGGCGGCTATGGAGCGTACAATTGGCAATCTCGGTCAGGACATCCGCCAGCACTCCAACGTATACACCAACTTACAGCAGATTGCCCTCCGCCGTTGCCAATTCAATGCTCTCAAAGCCATGTACCCTGCGTTCGCCCCTGATCCCACCATACTGCATGGTGCAGTTATTGTTGGCAATGGCTATATTCTCTTGCGTGCAGCCGGGAAGAGCCAACGGGCTGTTTCACATGCAGAAGCCGTCGCCTTGCGGCGCTTTGTGCATGCTCATGGTATTCCTGCAACGGATGCTTGGTTGCAACAGCCAAAGATTGCACGATGGGCTCGTCTGCATCTTCCCAGTGGGCAGAACGCTCGCTCGCTGTGGAAAGAGTCTCTCAAAACTCTTGAGGCTCTCCGAACATCTCGGAATGTGAAGGTACATTGTGTCTCCTTCTGCATCCGAGTCAGCCGTATTTTTACTGTGTATTTGCTCTAGTTTTCCCACAATAGCAAGATTGAGTATGGCAAGGTTTGATTCTTCTTTCAAATGGAAGTAGAGCCAGGCCAACCATCACGAGCATTTGCACTTGTGTCAAGATACACATGTCCCGACCACCAGCTGCTGACCAAGTCATACAAGACTGTGTGGTCATGCAAGGCAAGTGGTGATGATGATATCCTGGTTGTAAGTGTCAAGACAATATCAGCCATTGTCGCGATGATTCCACATCCTCATCGAGCCGGCCACGACGAGCTTATAGGTAGAGTATTTGTTATGGAGAAGCTCGGGGTCGATTCTATTACATTATATGAGCAAGATGAGGAGCTTGATAATGAGGACGAATAGCTAGCTCACTGTGCTTCACTAATATCATGTATTACATTTTTATACTCCTCAATTTGAGGTGCAGACTGCACATCGTTCACTTCGCACCAGATATCTATGACAGGCGCCTCTCAGGGTGTGCGGCGCTTATAAGCGCTTTCTACCAGCTAGCACATTGTTCACTTCCTCCACCATGTCATTGGTATTTTCGTGGTTATGTCGCACTTCCAATCTGCTTCGACGCTCCTCGACGGGCTTGGAGTGTCCATGGCTGCAAGGATACCAGTAGCGTGGGCTCTCTCATGATGCCTCCACTGTTGTGCTACCATACGCACGCTGACAGCACCCAACTGCACGCACCACGATGGGGACCAGCTACATTAAACCAAGGTGTGTTGTACTTCCATAGTCAGTAACGGACTTTATTCATGATGATTGTGCTGCAGGACACATCGTCGCAGTCTTGCTCCGCATTGCGCCGTGCGCACACTCCCCATCGTTCCTCCTCCGCTTCAATGCAAGGCATGACCGCCACCTACGACAAACCTTCGTAGTTGCCAACACAGCGCGCAAGAGGACGAAGCAGAAGCTCAACGCACCGTCCATCGTCGTGCCCGCATGCTTCGTTCTGCGCACCCACCACCACACCGCACATGCGACGCCGCGCAACCACCATCGGTCGCACAGGAAGGCGTCCCCCTTGGACTCGGGCCACTCGATGTCGCCCTCGCTGTCACCGATGCCGCTCACGCCACCGCACGCGGACGTCGAGCCAATATACGCCGCGGCGATCTATCCGTCGCCCAAGCCTATCGTTGCCGCAGGCGTCCCAGAGGCACACCCACGTCTTGCTCAACACACTCCTTGCCGCCGGCGTGCGCACCTTCATCGATCTCACCGACCCACGCCCGTCGCCCGAGCCCATCGTCACCGCAGGCGCCCCAGAGGCACACCCCCGTCTTGCTCGAAACACTCCTCGCCACCAGCGTGCGCACCTTCATCGACCTCACCGACCCACACGATCTCTTCCTGTACTACCTACTCCTCGCCATCACGAGCTCTTCCCATACTACCTGCACCTCGCTGCGCGCTGCTCGACATCAACCTGCGCGAGGTCGTGTACCACAACTTGCCTATCTGCAACCGCAGCCTGCCCGAGAGTGTCGACCTCATGTGCCGCATCCTTACCGTGCTCCGCGGCCTTGCCGTGCTCTGCGACAATGAGCGCCGCGAGCGCATCTGCGCCGTCCACTGCCGCAGTGGCATCAGCCGCGCCAGCGTCGTCATCAGCTGCTGGCTCGTTGAGTTTGGCATCGCACATGATGGCGCGGGCACTTTGCTAGAAGAGCACACGATGGTGTCCACCTGCGCTATGAAGATCGTCGCGGCCTCTCCGCACTCCGCCGTACGCACACCCCGCAACGTTACTCCTCCCACGCAGGGACGCCGGTCTTTAAGCAAATCGAGTTCGCGCCTAACACCTCTAGTAAGCAGACTTAGCTATTTACCTATTTGTACTTCGTTGCTCAGTATGTCGCAGCCTCCGACTACGTCGTCGTGAACTTGAACAACACGGAAAGTTCTCTGCTGGCAACGTTCTCTATTGGGGATCTCGCGCAGTGAACAGCAAACAAGACGGGCCTGTTTGGCAACACACCCGCGAACGCCGTCGCATTCCTACGGCTCCCAGCAAGAGACAGCATCTTCACGCGCGTGCCAGACCCTGTGGCCAGGCTGGGCTCAGCGCACTACAAGCTGCTCTGGGCAGACGGCTCCGTGGCAACGGTGCTCGCATAGCCGGCAATGGGGCACTTTGTGACGATCAACACCACGGTCGTGTCACCAACGTGTTTCTGCTCATTGACCCGAATCTCAACATGAGCTCTGACCAGGCTGCGATGCTTGCGGCCATGCGCGCCACGCGCAACTTCATGGCCGCGCCACCCTGGCAGGCACGGGGGCTTTGACATGTAGTTCAGCATCGACGTGAGGACGCTGCTCTTTGCACGAGCAGGAAGATCCCCGTCGCCGAAGTAGTCTTAGCATGATAGTCTTAGCATAGAATTGGACACCAAAATGTTGTCACGTGCTGATTGCTGCCCTTGGGTGGCAAATACAACAACTCTTGTAAACTCTCTGAGCATGCATAAATATATAGCAACCAGTCCCTCTCCAGCCAGCAAGCCTATGCTTCAATTGGTGTGATCATTGTTTGAGCCCGAGTCATCCTGAGGCAGGTTAGTATGTAAACAACTATGAACATATGTACAATGCTGTTACTTACTGACACAACTGGTGCTCGGTCTGATACAGAGCTACTTGTAGCTGCAGGCTGCTGAGCGGCGCGGCGTGCGCGAGCGTGCTCTTCTTCAAAGGCCTCGGTACGCAATTGGAGCAGGAGACGCAGGGCCAGTTTGGTGCGAACGACTTCTTGAGTGATCTTCTGGCAGTATGTGAGTGGATACTGGTAAGGCAATGGGTCGTCGTGACATGCAGCTTGCTGTCCGACTGAGCGCCGGATCAACCGCACGCATTGGTCAAGTTGACCAGGAGTGGCGGCGTGCTGGTCATGGTCATGGTCCATGGTGGTAGTTGTAAGTAAACCATGTCTCTGCAAAACACGGTGCTTTATAAGTCCAGAATATGGGTAGATGTGAGTAGGTCTACGTGCATGGTGGTGTACCCATTTACTTCCATTCGATCGCATATATAAGGCTCTCATCACGGCGACTGACACCCCCATTCTGCTATCCTGCTCCTCTGTGTTGCTACTGTGATTGTCAAGCACATCTATCTGGCATCTTCTTACCATAGAACGCTCAGGCAATGGAGGGAATCCTTCAAAGTGGAGCAGAAGCACATAGGATGCAAGAGATGGCTGGAGGTGACGTGTCGTTAGGTAAATTTCAACATAGTGATGACTACCAAGGGGAGAACTGACGAAAACAGGTAGAGGCCTTTTGGAAGACACATCAAGTCTAGATATGTCCATCAACATGACTGCCAATGCATACACAGGTGACTGGGAGACCTTTGAGGTTCCAGTGCGTGGCATTTGTTGCTGAGTGTGTATGCATAGCTAATGCACTGTTCCTGCAGCTATCAGCCAAGGAGGCTTCAAACATATCAGCCGTAAACACGCATATCGTTGGCACAATGACGAACGGCTCTGATTTGGGTCTGATGCCTCTGTTTAATATTGTTCAGCATGTACGGGGGGAGATGGAGGTTTTTGGGTGCGTGTATCTTGATCATACATAGCTGTGCACCTCACCTGACCCAGGCACAATTTCCAGGAACTGCATTGAGAAGCTGTATGAGGCTGTGAACATGCTCTCGTGAGTTTGGTTTATGTCCAATATTAGCTAGTAGACTGAGATCTTGCACGGAGCTCGCAGATGGATGTCGTGATCCAAAGTGCCAGTATGTGAACTGCTATGGAAGTCTCTGGACCTAAGGAGAACATCAAGCCCTTGCGTGAGAAGTATCCGAAGGTCTGTTTCTGGCGCAAGAACATGTACAAGCAGCAAGACAGACAACCAGGCCAAAGCGACCCCATGCGAGAAGAGACACCACGTCAGAAGTCCTATAAGAAGCTCCGATTCCTAGAAAACGACCAGGGTGTGCCATACACTATAGGGAAAATTGCTGTGGTTTGCAAAACCATGAAGCGTGCATTTCTTGACCTTGACAGCTTTCATGAGGTTTCGCCGCCGGCAACATGGCAGGGTCACGCTCTAGACTGCCATCGCAAAGGAGTCTTTAGTGCACTGTACAAGGCTCATCCTGATATTGAGTACTGCGCTGATGACTGGAAGGCCAATCAGATCGCTATCGAACGATATTCCCACTACCGCCAGCATCATCCGTGGCCTGCTGCATGGCTAGCACCTGTCCGCCGCATCAAGGAGGAGCCTCAGCAAATCATCAGCGAAATCAAGGATGATCATGCCAACGGTGATCCCAGCTGCAGCTCTGGCAAGCCCGAACCGGCAGCTGATGTCGAGAACATGGACCCAGCGATGGCTCCTTTGCCTGATACTGCACAGAAGAGAGCCGCTCTCACAAGTGCTGAAGACCGATGCGCAGCAAAGAAGCCCAAGATTGGGAGAAGGATCATCATAGCCAATCCAATGTAAGCCTACGCACCGTCACATCACTTAAGACTAACAATACAGTGGGTGATTGCAGTCTTGCCACAACGCAGCCCACAACAGATGATCTGCCCGAGAATCTTTCAGACCAGGACATCACTGGAAGTAGAGTCACGTTTGATTCCGAAGGTGGTCAAGTCGGCGAGGAAATGGCAGGATCAAGTGTGCCTGAGAATATTAATGTAACAGAGACGATGACCGAAGGCTCCGCTCTGCCTATTACAGCCCCCATCAGCTCTGCTCCGACTGAAGAGGCTGCGCGCTCTGATGACCAGGTCGCCAAGGGAAACACCGCAGCTCAGGGAGCTGCAGTGAAGATCACTGGGAAGTACGTACCTTGTTTCACCATGTGGATGTCAGCTGGTTAACCCTGTCAAAATCCTACTGACAGGACTTACTGTTGCGACACTTGGAAGGCCAAGCACCCTGACTGCCAAGAGGACTTGGCTGCCTTTGAGACCTATTGGAAGGGCCTCACTGAGGGAGAGAAAAGGGTGCGTTACATGATATCTGTGGATGATGGCAGTTTCTGATTCATTGTGCACATGCTCATAGAAATTCAATAATCTTGCAGCCAAGGCAGTGAGTGTACGGATTCGTAGGGGAGTTACTTGGCATACCAACAGCAGTGCAGAAGCGTCAGCTGAATTGGACGGTGGCGAGCACGGCGTAAAGTCAGAAACGGTAGGTCTATTCGCATTCACATTGTCTCGCGCTAAATAGCTGAAAATCACCGTGCAGATACGAGCGGCTAGGTGAAGAGAGCTGCGTGGATGCGGGTATTTATGGGTATGTACTGCAAACGGTGTGCTACTGTATGGGAAGTAGAGGAGAGGCGACCTGGGTGTGTGTAACTGTAGATAGCAGAATATCTGGGTGTATCACAATTTACGAAGACGAGAAAATTGCGTAGATGGGGGTGCCTCACAGTCCAATACACCTACCGTGGTCTACGGAGTCGAGCGGAGTAGGTTTGAGTCAACCCGGGTAGATGTGATGTTCACTGGGGCTAAACTCCTGTCATCGAGAGCTGTTCGTGTTTGTCTTCCCGACTCCCCCCTGTCTTCTGCCACAAGCTTCTCAAGCCGACCGCTTGCCCTAGAACCCCCCCCCTCCCCGCTCGTACGCTGCTTCGATTTGCCCCCTTGTACCACGCCTTACTTGCTCCCTCTACCTCTTGTCTTTGATATACGACGCCTTGGAGGTGTATATTCTTTTCAAACTGTTGCAGCGTGTTCTTCGTTCCCCAGCGGGTGGCACACGCGCAACCGTGGCGTAGTCATCCTGCTACAAATGAGCTTTTCCATGTGTTATTTTGTCTTCACAGCAAGAGAAGGGTAAGGCGCACCTGATCCAACAAGAGGCAAACATGCATGCGTTCGACGCCCATGTATATCTCCAAGCCTCACACGAACGCCGCCGCCCTGTCGTGATGTGCAAAGTATAATTGAACGCTTTCACGCGCTAACAGCATGTAGCTAAGGCTATCCTGTCGCGGCAGCGGTGCTGTCTGGTCTACTGCCCCGCTGATGGAGCCGGACATCCATGCTGGCGATGCGGCTGATGTGACGGTGGCTTTGCAATATTCAAATAGCATAGCCGATGCAAAATAAATGCTCTATATTACCTGGAAAAAACAATGCTGTGATTTTTTGGGCTTGTGTAAGCCACGAGACGCAAGGCAGACTCGGAGGGTGCAGGGGGTCAGTGACATAGTGACTGGCGTGATAGTGTGACAAGACACTTCGCAGCTCTCGTCCATTATTTAAGTGCCAAATCTGCTGTACATCAGTGATGTGCACTGGTGTTCAATGGTCATTTCTGGCTGCCACCGGGTCCCGGTAGTGACCACCATTGTGCCTTGCTGGCACACAGCAGGGTACACTGGAATACACTGTCTAATTCCGTCGATGTTTACTGGCTACCAGTCATGGCCAATGGAACCCAGCGGTGTCTCTGGTCTAGGGCATACTACTGCATGAGTCCCAACAGCTACCTTGGAGCGCCTGCGAATTGCACAGGGAGTCCACACGTTGCCAGCATGCCCATCGATCAGAGCGGCGGGGCGAGCACCGAGCGTACAAATGCTGTCCACCTGCGGCACACGCTGTCTATCTGGAACTGCTCCACTGCGGTCTCGTTGCATCGCGTACTAGGAAATTAATTCGGCATTCTGCGCACCTCAGAGATCGTGCATTCCAGCCGGTGAGTCTACAGCGGTCCTAGAAACCGTGATGAAGCTGAAGGATAGTGGCAGGCTCTGAAGCGAAAAAGGACGACAGTGGCTAGTTTGTTCCATATGGTCGGTCACAGCTCCAGATGGCCATCGCAGGAGGCTCATCAGCCGAGCCAGGGTGATACGGTGGTACTTCTCTGGGCGGAACCGATCGAGATCGAGCTGGCACACAAACACCGTCTGTTTGCGGCGCACACCACCACGACTCGGCACTGCTCTACTGCGATCTCGTCGCATCGCGTATTCGGAGATCTCGGCCCCAGGTGGCCATTGCAGGAAGTACGTCAGCCGCCATCGACCGCGTCGGACACCCTCGCAGTGCGCGCTGCACACAGCGTCTAGCACCAGGCTCTGCTAATCAAATCTACGGAGCGCGTTCGAGGTTGAGATCTGGTGTCGGCTGCATGGTTGCTGCCAAGGCAACACATCTCGCACGTAGTGATGTGCGGGCCTGGCTTGGGCTCAAAGCCCGGGCTTGGGCTTGTGGCGATGCCAAGCCGAGCCCTGAGCCCGAGCCGAGCCTGAGCCCGGCCCAAGCCGTGGACTTAAGCCCGGGCTTGCAAGGCTTAGGACAAGTATTTATATGCTACAAACGTGAGCATATTTGTATGTGATAGGCTGCTATTGCATGTACCCACCGTACTGCAGCCTCCAGAGGGCATGCGACCGCGCTACAAGCCATGTTATGACAAGGTTCGCGAAGGGGCGCCTACGGTGAACGCCAGGCGGTGGCGCACAATTGCGCCTAGTCACACTAGCAGGGACCGCCCAGTCCGGTAAGTCAACGTCCCGTCTTGTATGTGTATATAAAGTAATTCTTACCATGTTTTGAGCCCAGGGAACAGCAACACATTTAGTGCACCCAAGCCTGGGCTTTCGGGCCGGGCTTGGGCTTGACTATGCTCTGAGCCCGGCGTTGAGCCCGCTGCCAGGCTTAGCTCGGGTCAGGCTTTTTGGGCCGGGCTTGGCGGGCTCGCGGGCTTTGAGGCCCGGCCCGCACATCACTACTCGCACGCCAAGCTTTTCCACCTGTCCTGAAAGCAGTGTTGGCTAGCTGCAATTGTCCAGCTGCATCATATCTCATTATTCGTGAACAGCCACTCAGCGGCGAACTCGGAGTGTCCAGTGCATTGGAGGAAACTAGCAGGAAAGATATCCGAGTCCCAACCGCGTGCATTCCGTAACTTGTCGGGATAGTTTCTCATTTCGAGCCAGCATTCCCGTGTGTTCTCCTCTTTGAGCCATGCTATATCGTATCTTTGATAAATGATCTTTCTAATTCATATGGCCCGATATTTGCTTCAGAGAAAGGATGGCTTATACGCTTGCTCCATGCAGCGAAAATCCAGTGATTCACGACAATTTTCAACCACAGCATCAATCACTGGCAGATTGTACGGACATTGGTCGGAGACGCCACACCGTATCTGGCATCCTACTAGTATCATGAACAGCTAGCAATCGCTTAGCGGCAACCGACAAGCGGAACTCTTGTTCCGAGCGAATCCTAGAGGCTATGGTATATAGCCTGCGGGTAGGTGCGCTGTTGAGTCTGCATAGACCAACGTAGACTTTCTCAGCGCATTACAGATTGCATGTCTCATGTCAAGATAAATATCAATGAACACCCGCCGCAGTTGGTTCAAGATTGGTACTTGCCCTCTCTCTCCAGAGTCAGGAGTACATGGTGTCACATACTCTACCACTAACGCGCACCATATATCTAGGCTGACAGGCAACTATGTGGCGTACTCGGTGCTGTGCTTGTCCTTCTTATGCGGGCAACTCATCTTAATGGATTTCTTGGGGACCAAAGGGGGACGGCGCGGACGAAAAACGACGAACAGGCGGACACCCTTATGCCCGAAGGCTGCATGATCGAAATCAACGTCCGAAGGCTTACGTTAACGGGCGTACAGGATTACGCCAACATACTGGCTATAGCGGCCCAGAACTTCATCTGCAGCTTCCATGCAGGCAGCGATAGCACGAATCTGCGGTGACGGTCGCACTGAGGCTGAAGACCTGCAATTTGGCGTAAACGCGCAACAGCTTCCGTGGCTACGAACGGTATCATCGTCGACGAAACCAGCGTTTGGCGTGACCGAGATCTCGTCGCCGAAGTGTGTATGGCAACCACGCACAACCACTCTTTGAACCCAGGTGAGCTGCAAACTACCGGATTTTGCGTCGGTCACTCACGGCGTTGTCAGGGCCTAACTGCGGGGTATGCTCAAGGCCATAGCAAATGCTGCCTGTGCCCAGTCGCTCACAATTTGAACATCCTGAGCTGCAAGTAGTGATGTGCGGGCCCGGCTTGGGCTCAAAGCCCGGGCTTGGGCTTGTGGCGACGTCAAGCCGAGCCCTGAGCCCGAGCCGAGCCCGAGCCCAGCCCAAGCCTTGGGCTTAAGCCCGGGCTTGCTCACAATACAACGAGTGTTCCGGTGCTATCAAAAGGGAATGTATTTGGGTGTAGTAGATTAATACTGCATGTACTCACTAAATTATAACCTCCAGAAGATCTACATCTGCGGAACAAGTCGAGTCGCAGCGAAGTCCACGAGCGTGCGCCTACGGCAGGCACCAGATGGTGACGCACAATCGTGCTCGGCGGGAGCCGTTACATCTAGAATATCTACATTTTGTCTTCTATGTGCATATTAGGTCGCTCTCTCCTCATTCTGAACTCAGGGAACGGTAACGGAGCCAGCACACCCAAGCCTGGGCTTCCGGGCCGGGCTTGGGCTTGACTACACTCTGAGCCCGGCCTTGAGCCCGCTGCCAGGCTTGACTCGGGCCAGGCTTTTTGGGCCGGGCTTGGCGGGCTTGGAGGCTTTGAGGCCCGGCCCGCATATCACTAGCTGCAAGCGCCGACCTACGACGACCATATCCCCACCCGCACAACACTCGGAAATCTTCGGTGCCCAGCACAGACCGTTTTGAAAGCTGATGTGTCCTTCACCGCCTAGTGCAAGGATGATGGCATACGTGCGAGTTGACGTACAACCAACGTATAACAACGGGCCCGCTCTGCCTACCGCCACCATCCCGTTCGGTCCTTGCTACGAACATCACGTTGCGATTCATCTCGATGGGACTCAAAATCTGGCGTTTCAGCACGGTCTGCAAGACTCACGGCATACGAGAGACAAGCCCAGCCATAGAGCAACCACGTGAACGAAAGTTAGATAATCCTGGACCGCGTGAGGGACAGAAATCTCTCGCGCTTGAGCTCATCGTTTATAGCTTTGAAACTGTGTTCACAGTGAACATCGTAGACAGCAGCACCTCTTGTGTGATCATAATCGCACTCTAAACCTCAAGAACGCGTTAGTCCCGTCGGGGGGATAGATCACCGAATGTCCGGAGCTACGGCGAGTGGAGCTTGCTTTTTTTTACCCACGTATGCGCGATGTCATATTACGCCAGCACTTCGCACGCCGCATCGCCCGCGGCGAGTGTGAGTAAATTCTGCTCTGAGTCGATACCTCTAACAATCGCGTCGAACAAGTACTGACGCTTAAATAAATAATATGATTTGACGATGCTGATGAATTTGAAGGATGTGCTGAGGCTGAGGCAACGTAGGCGCATGCTTCTTGTGGCGTGCTTGTACTGGTATTCGCTAAGACATCTCGGAGGTGGGACCTGGTGTCGATTGCATGGATACGCCTGGGACAGAGCGCCTGAGACAGTGAGCTTGCATGCGTTCTAGGAGCAGCGTGGAGGCTGAATACAGTGGCAGCAGGCTGGCGAGACAGAGATGATTGAGACCCGGTCGTGATGGCCTCGCATATATACCTCAAAACTTCCTGTATCATATTACCTTATGTGCGTACAACTGCTCGGCGGGTTTGGGCTGCCCATTGACATAATTAAGCAAACCAGATAGTGATCGTCATCCAGCTTTGATTTGATCGGGCTTTGTCTAGTCCCCCTCTGGCGGAGTTTTACGTGGGTGGTGTCAGCGTGGTCGGTAGGACGACAGCTTTGCCTGCGCCTGATGCCATGGTCCTATACAGAGGAGGCGAGGAGTCTTGCGGCACTTCTTCAAGTATCGCGATGCGGGATAGACGCAATAAAACGATTGAAATCACGGGTGCGGTGGCTGTCTAAGCTATCCTTCATTTTGGTCCAGGAGATTGCATAGCGGAGCTGGATCGAGACGTCCGCACGACGCGAAAGAGGAAAGAGGAGAGATCATGAGTAAGTCGGGAGTCCAGAGGGAGAGAGGCTTTGAGCCGAGTGACGTAGAATCATCGACGGGCTTTGCAGCAGCAGAGGGCGACATGCGGGTTGACAGAGGTGGTCACAAAAAGAACAGCCTGCGGCAAGCGCCACTAAGCCCACGCCTATAAGGCGGCATGAAAACCCTAACCCCGGGGTCGCCGCCTGCGCGGGACATTATGCAACGCAAACGACCTGCGCCCTTGTGCCCCGTATCACGGCTCGTGAACGAGCCTCTTAACCTATGAAAGGAGTTAGCCATCTTTCTTCCATCAGCGGCTGAATGACGGGGGAGCTCTGACCAGACAGTCGAGAGATCATGAGCCCGAGGAACAGCATCCATTAATATGCTTACAAACAACTACTGGTACATTATACTTTAATTCCCTGGAGAGATATGACGCCTTTTTCGCTCAGCGTGCCATTCGCGTGTACTAGGAGACAGCGACGCTCGAGCTCAAAATCGAGGTGGAGGTCGGAACCCTGCCATTCTGCCCAACGCCAAATGTTCCGCATCCTAGAGGCCGACGCTGCCGGTGCCAGTGCTAACAGAGGTAAAATTGAATGTGACTGTGCTGAAGTCGGGAAAGGAAGCAGGCGAGTCGCCCAACCTCCGCCCGAGATCCTTGAAAATTCACTCCGCGTCCTGTTTGCAGAGAGCGTTGGTCGGTGTATGTCCTGCATGGACGTCTCGCTTTTGCTGTTGTTCGTGATAACAGCCATATCCGACGTCATGCTCGTCGCTGTCACGGTGAGAGTGACGTTGTTGCCAGGGTGGTGAAGCTAAGGTGTTGCTCGAGAAGTCGTACGCGTAGTCGGGGTATCGTTCGTACCAGCCTGCGCGAGAGGGAAATGAAATACAGCGCGAGAAGGAATGGCGAAGCGAGGCAAGCGCACTAGTACGACACCGACGAGATTTAGCCGTGAGAAATCGGAGGCAGTCAGATCGAGGCCAGCCGCGCTACCGCAGGTGTCCCTGCTCATGCCAACTCAACTACCCGCAGATCGTGTGCAAGATGAGCCCTTTCAAGTTCGGCGTTGGCACAGTGAATATCACGGTAATGCTCTCAGATGAGCTCTATGCAAAAGTCTGTAAGCGCGCATACAATAGATAGAAACACGAAGAGAAAGCGCACTGCATCTGCGTTCGAGACAGCGTCGGCCCAGTTTGGGTTACATCTGGAGTAGATCTCGTTGGTGATCTCGGAGTACGAAAGCCCTGCAGACGTCGCAACACTCGTTGGATGAGGGCAGCGAAAAGGCGGTTCCAACGAGAAGAGCCTGTGCGAAGAGGTGGAGACGAGTATAGTGGCGTTCGAGATGTCGAGTCGAAAGAGCTGTGAGTTATCGAGTCGAGGGAGGCTGAGGGCCTAGAGACTAGGAGCAGCGGCTGAACGAGCTCTTCTGTCTGCAGGCGGGGTAGGGGGATATCCGGCCATGGCTGTGGGTGCAGGCGTTGGAACCAGGGTGCCGCAAACAGCAGCCGTGCATGATGCCAAGGTGGGATGCTCTCTTGTGAAAGAGCAGCGTGCTTCATTAAGTGGCACTTGCTCCTCTCGAAGAACTTTGTCTCGGCTGCGCACACGGCCTGGAAACACGTGCAATGCAGCTTCGATATCTTGCCCGGATTCCCAGGCAACTTGCGGATGCAGTAGCCAATAGAACGCGGTGTTAGCGAGTGACAGAGACGAACGGTCCACCACCGTGATCTATCACTCGCGGCGAATGGGAGCACTACAGCGATACGGGATCATCGACCAGATTAGAGACAAAGCTCCCGGAGGCGTCAATGAAGGCAACTTGCACGGCTTTGGAGGATATCGCACGAAGGGGATATCCGGCGGCCGTTGCCGCACCTAGAACTGTGGCGTTTTCCCACACCTCTGTTTATCTCAATCTCTGGGAAGGCTAGGAGAAGGATGTATTGTATCTCCTGGAAGCCTTGGTTTATCCGTCGATGCGTGCCACACCGAGCATTGCCGAACAACCGGGATAACGGGATTCGACTAGTATCCTTCCCAGGCGTTGATTCATCTTTGTGCCCCGGATGCCTCGCCCTGCGCCAAGAGAACTTTGTCTGCACGCCTTGGAGTTCACACGGGAGCGAACGATAGGCCAGTGAGACCCAGATTCCGCGTCGAGCGGATGCGCATGACGATGGCAAGGGCTGACGTGCGAATGAGCACTACGTCCCGGCGACACCAATGAGGGGCTCGACAACGCCGACCGTAGGCAGCATCCGAAGCGTGTTAATAATGGTGAAGAGATCCTTGTTGTCGCACGCAGAGGCGTTCGTGTCGGCCAAAACAAAATCTTAAAGCATGCCGCTTCGAGATCGCCGCCGCTCCCAGCAACAGACAGCTTGCCTGCCGTGGGGAAGTCGTTCTGGAGTCGCCGAGCCTCCTTCGCCACGTATTGATCAATGAGCTCTGCATCCGAACACCATTAGCGATGGGGCGCGTATCTCTCACCGGGATGCGTACCTGCGAAAACTTTCGATCCCTGGGCCTTCCGTATCCGCACCACAGCCTCTCTGCTCTGCCCTCAGTTTCTCCACTCAGCCATCAGCTGGCCCTCCGATTTCTACACATCACGCGACACGTGTGTGTACCCTGAGAACACCCGCCGCTCATCTGCCACCTTGGACCGCTTTCTGAGTTGGGTCTTGCCTACCCTATCAATACGCCGCTTCCACTGATAATACTATATGATGTCTCTGCTCTGTTTCGAGCTAATAAAGAGTTCGATAATCCTAGGCAAGGGTAAAGAGAGTTGGCCTATACTAGTACCGTGTTTAACAAGGCGCATCGGCAGGGGAGGGGGGTTTGAAGACCGTGTTGTGCGCCGTGAGCAAGCCCTTCCAATCGCACGCTGATATTTCATGCCGGTCGAGTGCGGAGCGTCTCAGGGTACTCCTTTGGCGGCGAGTAAGTCACGTGTTGTGGAGCAGTCCCAGTATAACTTGCACGTCCACGAGAGCCCATGTCGTTTAGCTTTCATCGTACATAAATCGATAGACACTGATTCTGGACGGCATTAGCAATGAAACGTGTATGCGTCTGAACAGTACGCGCACCTTAATCGCCTGAAGGCTCACTCACACCTGCAATGCCACCTCCTCGCTCTTCGCTCTGCCTCGAGTTCCTCGAGTGCTGCCCGCGCCCAGCCCGGGGACAATTCCGTTCGCACACCGCTTTCAGCCGTCCCCCTACACCTATCTGCACCAGCTGTACCTTCAATCTTCCAGTTATCTTCGACTGTAGAGCCTGCGCAACAGAATGAAGCTGAGATGTACGAGTTCACAAGGCGAGAGGTAACGCACGTCCTCAAAGCTTCGACATGCACGCCGCCATGCTCTGAACATATACTGTTGCTCCTGCAGCAATAATCAGCGTCGTATGCCCGATCACCTCTGCGCCATCCAGAAGTCGCCTCCTGGAAGATCTAGCCTTTAGCGTCACTGGTTTTGTTAAACTATCGGAAGAGCCAGACGTGAGGGCTACAGTAGTGTGGATGGCGGAGCGAAGAATTTGATCCGCCTCGAATGCTAAAGTTCTACACGAAGGTGACGGGGCACTCCGCAGCGTCCCGCACCCACCCGCCCCGGATCGGGAAGTGCCAGAGCGGAAGATAAAAAGCGCGACGCACAAGATTGGGGACACAGCGCAAAGGTAAGACAAAGATCGACGAGGGAGAGACTAGTATTATGATGCTGACCCTAGTGTCGAGTTATTGTCAAGCTAGGTGACAGCACCGGTAGACATCCAGTACAATGGTGGTGGCGGTCAGGAAGGGAGCCGCCGGGCGAACGCGGCGCCACAAAGCCCACGCCTGCATGCTGCCCGCGCTTTCGCTTCGCCGCCACCTATTCACTGCTGCTTGACCCGCCCATGTATTAAGCCTACGTTGTGCTCACAGACGATCAATACAGCGTCTACCAGACTCTATTCATTGCATTTACTTCATGCGCTGAGATGCGGCTTTAGCTACTGCCCCACTCCAACCATGGGCTCCAATGTTGCCCGCGTCATGACTTATCCCCTTTTGTACGTCCGCTCAATCATAAGCTTGAGATGACCATCAGAGGAAATCAGCAGGACTGGCAGTCAATCCGTGATTCAGAGGTTCTTGTTCACAATTGTATGCATTCCGTGGGTTCCCTGTCTCTCATTTAACGCTTCCACGAGTCCTCCTTCCCTGTTACGCCAGTTCTTCGACAGATGATCCTTCTGTATCGATATCATAGTATGGCCAGATTCCTGATTGGAAAGGAAGAGCGCCTCATACGCCCACCTTGATCGACGAAATTCCCAAGATCTTACGGCAATGAATGATCTCCAGAACAATCAGAATGCACCGACTCGGATACTGCCAGAGATGCCGCATCATACATGGTGCTCTACTATCAACTATCAGACGATTGCCGTTATGTATAATTCTGCTCCTGAGCTGTCTCCGGAGAGTCTGTGATATATATATATAACTTGCTGCTCAGTGTGCTGCTTTCTGTACCAACCAACGCGGACCTTCTCAGCATACTACAGCAGACATGGCTCAGTCAAGCGAAGAATTTCAGCAGGAGTTTCAAGTAGGGTATGGATCCTCTGTCCTGGTATATGTATGCTGTATTACTGACGCGCAGCATGTGTGCCTAGGCTGATAGATAACTATGTAGCATACTCGGTACTGTGTATGCTGTGACGTCCCAAACCCCCGGCAGCAATTCTGGACTGAGCAGCTCCCCTTCTAGGTCTCGTTTGCTACGAATACGCAATAACACTCGATCAGGAAATTGCGACGGCGTGGAAAAGGAAGTTCACGGTCTCCTCGGTGCTACTATTCACCACCCGGTGGAACATGCTTCTCGGTCCATTTCTGAATATTATACCCTCGTCACAAAAATGGTGTGAGTCTGGCGAATTTCACGGATAAACCGACCTTATGATGTCACTCTATAGGGGAGCATTTTTTTCGGTACTAGAGTTTACTCTCACGAGTCACCGCATCCGTCACAAGGTGCATCCCAGGATACGCACTTAACACCCTCGGGTACTTTATGAGTACAGTCCTGGTCTCATGTGAGTACTAGCTTAATTGCATGAGATTGTACTGATTCTTTGTGCAGCGTTCTCTGCTCTGCGTATGTATGCACTCTGGCAGGGGTCGCAGGCAAAATATGTCTATCTTGCCATCGTGCTGATACTCGGAATAGTTCCCATTGGAACGAACATTGTGCATCATTTCTTCGCAATTTATGCAGCCATCTATACTAATTTGGATCTAGTTTCTGTGGACACGTATTGTACTCTCTTACCTGGACGCTCCACCAATTTTTTCATGCAGTGGCACCGCCAACATCTCACCGAAGCTGAACACAGAGTATGTGTAGACTTGTTGCAGGACATGAATCTATGCTGACTGCCTTACATAGGAGTAAGTCTGCCTTGCTCAAGTTTGCTTTTTAACCATTATATCTATGCCGCATGCGCATGAATCCAGTGCTCTATATCACAAGATGTAGCCTGATCGCCGCTGACATCATCGTCCTCGTGCTGACGTGGATCAAGTCATTCAAGCAATTCACGCAAATGCGGCAGCTAAACCTCGGCCTTTCCATTTCAGGTGTACTTCTCCGAGATGGCGAGTACATGATCTCTCTTTCAAGTTCCTACGCAAGCACGATGCGACTCATGCAATGTTCTTCTAGGCACTCTGTATTTTCTGTGAGATACTAGATGTCATGAGCATTTGCAACGACTCTGTCTGACACATCAACTCTCAGCGCCCTTCTAGCTATGAATATTCTGCAACTCCTCACATACTCCGAAAGTGATCTCTCTGCTGTGATTAGTACCAGGGCGTACTTCTATTTTGGATAGTTCTGATTTTCTGTTTGCAGAGCAACTACGCAACTGTTGTTACTCAATTTATGGTGACTATTCCATGAGCTAGGAAGGCAGAGATGTCCACTGACTGAACATTCTTGTTTACAGCCCCCTTTGCTGGTGCAGCGCTTCATCCTCAATCTCTGTCATGCCAACAGCTCTGCAAATGAAAGCTATTCCAATGCGCGGACCTTATCCCGCTTCTCTATCAGCTTCAGAGTGCCCTCTGATTTCCTCGGTGATATTGGCGAGCCTCTGGGCCACGGCCAATCGACGCGAGCTGAAGACGATGACCACGACAACGGCCGTGTGGCAGATGAGCCGCGGGACGGACTCGAAGAGGGTTCCGCGCACCCTCTACCGGGCATATCGCCTGCGTACCGGGTCGACAAAATGGGACTCGGCACTGCTCTTATGTTGCAGTCCGCCGAACGTGCAAACGAAGGTGATATCACTGAGGCACCCGCCGACTCGCACGAAATGGTGTCTGGACCTTCCACGTCTGCCCATTAGGCAAGTACCCTGCTCCATACCTCGCCATGACGGCTCAACATATGCTCATTAAAACAGGCTCCGATACATGGTCGAGCCGTGGATGTGCAGCGGTCGATAGCTGCCCCTGCCGATTGTCGGGCTGCCCGCGTCGACGTCGAAGCTATTATTTATCGCGTCCCGGTTTGCATATGTACCAGTTATTTCAATCTCGCTTCTACTATCTGCATTCTACGAGAGATTACATTAACTGTTTATTGCTGTTTATTGCCGTAAATAACATGATGGCGCGTCTTATTTCCTTAATTCTTGATCAAGGTTCGGTAAGGAGTCACCGCGAGATACATGAGTGCGAACAGGTAGTGCGGTAGTGAGAGCGTGGTACAATACAGGAGTGTCTGGTGGTCGCGGAAGTGGCCTGTGTAGACTCCATATTAGCATTTATGCCTTGGATGCTCGTCAAAGAAAACCTCCCAGAAGGGAACAGCATTCACTTGTACCGGCAGCTGCTGTCGCCGCCGTAGTTGGGATGCGTTTTGTCCTGTTCCCTGATGTCGTTGCGGTGGAAGGTGAAAGAGACCTACCGCGAGAGTCCAGCATCGATGGTGACGACCTTGGGCATGCTGGCGAGCTTGACGATCGTGCCATCATCAAGAACAACGAGATGCGGAGACAGAGCTAGGAATGCCGAGGCGACACTGACGAAAATGACGATTAGGAAATTGCGAGGATGTGTCAGCGCGAGAGAATCCAGTGCGATTTCATAACTACTCACGATGTAGAAGGGCGTAGAGACTGTGCTGAACTCTCCTGTTACGAATGTTGACGCAGAAGAAGAGATAGAGTCAACGACGGCGCCGAGTTGGCAGGATCCAGGACATTCAGGGTGCTTTTCGTTTGCCCTTTTCACAAAACAGCTCGTCATGACGGAACTTTGATCCCGGGACGGTCGAGAGAATTGTCATCATCCACGGAAACGAGGGACGACCGCGTTTGGGAGCTGCGTGGCAGAGACAAAAGCGCGCGATTCGTCCTCGCATCTCTGCGGCAGAATATCAAGGTCTCGGCGAGAACGCCGAAAAGTTCATTCGGAACTCTCCTGGCGAGTAACGGCAATGCGGGCCTGCAGGGGCTATTGGGTCGATGGGAAGATCTACGCTCAGAATGCGGGGGCCGCTGTGGGCGGGAGAATAGTATCGCTGCGACGTCCAGGCCTGTCTGCGGCGTGCAACCAGAGATCGAGCACAGTGGACGAATGAAGGAGCCATCAGCGTCCACGAAGGAAGAGGCGGCTGGCAACGGCGCTTAAGTAATTTTCGCGACAGTGCGGAATATGGCCTGCTATGAAGTCCTAGTAGAGCGTCAGTGTGGTCGCTGGAGATCTCAGCAGCATACGGCTTACCTCGGGTGCGGGGAGCTGTTCAGCATCATAGATACGCACCAGCTATGAGGCCTTGGCTGCGCCCAGGACATGGAACATAGTACAACGAACCTGGGGCGGCCATCCTGAACGGAGCAAAGGCCAAGGCCTGAGACAACTTGCCTTGCATTGGGTACCGGCGTACTCGAACTGCCGATGGATCGACGACTGCATCGAATGACTCAGCGGGTTGGTGTATAAAGTGACGGGCGCTGCGACTTGACGACGTTGATGGGTAATTCGACGACACCGAAGAGGTGCGGCGTCGGGTGCATGGCATTTGATGGCATTCGCCGAGATGTTGAGAGCAAGACATTGAGCTTGATGAGCGCGATAGACGAGCACTTGTAGTTGTGCACCAAGGCATTGGCTTCGGTAGAACGCAGTCTTCGAGTGAGCTGCTACCTGTCGCGAAGGAATGAAAAAGCAGGATATTTGCCCAGGAAGCTGGGGCCGTCCAGCGTTGGTCGTTCATGTGTTCACGGGCAGTACCTCTGGTCTATGTCAATGACGCTGCATTTATGCGTCTGGAAAGTGTGCGCACCTGGTGAGCTCTTCTTCCTGGGACTTACCCATATCCTATTCAGCGTCTCCGCTCTCTGCTCTGCCTGCCCCTCAAACGTTGTCCGTGCCCAGCCCTAAAACCAGCCCCTCTCCCGCGCCTCGATCTGCTTCTCTTCCTCGGGCTTCGCCTTCTCTTCTTCGATAGCCTTAACATATGGTGTTCTGTGGGTGTACGGTTTTTCTCATTGTCACGACGTAGGTTCCGCTCTCTGGTAGGTGGTGTACTCGTGACCGTGTCGCGGTCAATTCAGTCTTCGCGAACTCCGCCATGCAAAATGTCCTCCTTGCACAACAAGATAAAGATGAGGCTTACGAGCTCACAGGGAGAGAGTAAAGCGCACCTTTTCGATATCTGAGTATGCATTTACTCCCCACATCGACGCTGCTGCCCCATCATGCGTCTCCAGGCGTCTTTGCGCTATACAGCAGATGGTTAAGATATCTATCTAGTTTAGCCTTCGAGGCCGTACCTTCTATTGTATTTCCGACAGAGCTTAACGTGAATGCCGTCAGCGTGGTCGGTAGGACGATGGCTCTTCCTGCTCCGGATGTCGTGGTCCTATATGGAGGTGGCGGAGCGTGTTGTAGCGCTCCGTTGAGCAACGTCAAGCGGGATTGAGGTAAAAGAATGAACGAGACCACGATTATGGCAGCGGAAAAAGCTATATAATCCCTCATTTCAAGCTAGGAGATGTCGGAGCGGGACAAGAGACGTCTGTGGGACCTGAAGGAGCGATGAGCAAAGCGCGCGAGTAAGACTGGGTCGCGGCACGGGAGAGGCTCTGAGCCGGGTAACATCTAACCACGGACGGGCTTATGTAATGACGGCGGAATTGAACGTGCAAGCCAGTGGAAGTGGCGACCAGTGGGATGCTGGAATGGAAATTGCCCGCAGCCTGCAAGTGCCACAAAGGCCGCGCCTACGAGTTTCTCACGTGAATGCCGACGGATCACGCTTCTGCCCCATCTTGGATTGATGCGCGCATGTCGCCGACTGATGCGTACCTGTTACCATTACGCTCACGAAGCTCTGCTCAGCCGCACACCTCGTGAGTGCTTGCTATAGTCTTAAGGGAGCAAAATTGGAGGGTTGAATAAAGACAATAAAGCGGATACTTAACACTGCGTCGATTCACTCTACCAACGGATATTGTACCTGTTATGACAGAGGTTTCTTAGCAAGCCTGAAGCTTGTCTGATCGCCTTATCCACAGATGAGGTTAGAGCAGAATAAAGAAACGTGAATATACAAAAGAGCTGAAAGCTGGGGTGCTACTGTACATGCGCGGGGTATTTATACTACTGCTCAGCCTAACCTAAGGACTAGTCTACTAGTCAAAGGGACTGCAGGTGAGTCAGTGAAGCTGCGCTCTATGAGTCGACGAAGGCAGTACTACTAAACTAGAGTCAGAGACGAAAAAGGAAATGATATCCCATGCCACCATGCCCATCATAACATTACCCCCTAATCTACCTTCGAGCAACGATCGGAGTTAGTTAAGGGCCCAGATCTCCTCCTGAACCTTTGCGACTGCCTCCTCGAGAGCCTTCTTGATGACTATGAGTGGCTTCGACTGCTTGTTGCGACGGCGGTGTTCGCGCTTGAGCTGCCTCTTCGAAACCTTCGCAGGAGTTGTCCAATCCGAGAGAGCGCTCGGGGACGTCCATCCGGAATTGTAATGATCGAGGAATTTGTGTTGGGTGGAGAAGCGGACCAATTTCTTGGTGGCGACATGGCTGTTGGACTCATACGATGGGGGAGACGGCGTGCTCGCCGAAGGAGATGGCTGGTCCCGAAAGAACCGAAAGGACTGGTTGGACGCGAGAAAGGACTGGCTGGACGACGAGGTGGATATGCGTTCAGAGAGAGGTCGAGAGTGAGTTGGTGTGGGGTTCGGCATGGGCTCGAAATCGTTGAATAAGTAGGCGAAGTGAATGGAGGGCCCGAATTGATAGCGATGGGCGGTGTTGACAATGCGTGCTGCCGAGGGATGTGTTTCCGAGTAGTTGACAAAGTCCCTCCACGCTTCTAGGTGCTCCACATCTGTCCTCCCAATTTGCGTTCTGAGTTTTGCGAGTCCTTCGTTGTCGATGTGTACCAGGTCCGCAGCGTCACGATGAGTGTCGGTGAAATGTTCATTGAGAGCATGGAAGCTTGCGACAGTCCTTGCAAATATCTTTGTGGCATTGTCCTCTTCCTGGGCAAGTTGCGAGAGGAGCTCAACAGCGCTGTAATCATTGCGGATTTTGGTGAGTCGTTGGAGATATGTGGTTTCGCAATATTTTTGTTCGATCTCTTCTGCGCTAGCATTGCTCCAGTCCCAATGGGGTTCTGAGTGTTCGTCAACAGGGATAGTGCTTTCATGGGAGACTGGAGTGGGTGCATGGGATTGGGCAATTTTGGGGGCGTGGTAGGAGTCTCTTTCCGAGACGTTGGCATCGTAGGTGTACTGAACGTTGGGGAGATTGATGGAGGAAGGGCTCCAAATGCGGATTTGGGAGGTGGACTCGGTGAGAGTGGAGACGGGGACGCGCTTGTAGACGGTGGCGAGAGTGGAAAACATTGTGTAGTAGCAGAGTGAGGCCGGTTTGGAGACTTAGAACTGGTTGTAGCTGCGACTGGAGTTGTCTTGGCTGGAGAACGAATAGACAGATTATGCCTTCTTTTATACGCGTTCAGAATATCTTGGGCATTCTTTAGATGGGACTCGGGTTCCCAGGAGTTCTCTGCTTGTGGCTGTTCTTTCCACTTGACTAGGTATTGGACATAGCCATAGAATGTCTTGTGATTGAGTATCGCCTCGACTTCGTGTTCTTCATGGCCGTCGATGATCTCTGGAGGCTGTTCTATGAAATTGGGGCCGTGCTGCTCGGTTTCATGATACGGGGTGAGAAGCGAGGCGTGGAAGACATCATGAAGTTTTCGCTGCCCTCGAAGATCGAGTTTGTATACCAAAGGTCCTAGAACCTCTTTGATTCTGAATGGTCCCTGACGTTTGGGTGCGAGTTTCTTGAAGGGATAACCATCTTGGAAGTTTGTCATCTCAAGCCAAACTTTCTGGCCTTTCTGGAACGGTGAAAACTTCCTGTAAGTTCTTGAGGCCATGCGATGCTGTGCTTGGTCTAAGGCGGCGTGGGCTTCTTCGTGTGCGCGGGTTCGTTCTAGAAGCCATTGTTGTATGGATGGAACCTTAGTCTTGGGAAAGGCTGTGGAGATGATCCTTGGGTGCGAACCATACATGAGATAGAATGGCGAATGCTTTGTGGCGCTGTGTTCTCGATTGTTGAACGCCACTTCCATATCGGGAAAAAGCTGTGCTCAGCTGTGCGGATTGTTCTGGCAGAAAATTCTGATGTACGCTTCTACCTCTTGATTGGCTCGTTCCGTTTGACCGTTGGTCTGAGGATGGTATGCGGTGCTCATTCGTCCTTGTACTCCGGTTAGCTTCCACAATTCTCTCATGACTTGGGAGTCGAATTGCGGACCCCAGTCCGTGAGAAAGACGTCTGGTAGTCCGAATCTTTGGTAGACATATTGATGGTAGAGTTTGGCTGTGCCTAGCGCGTCTATCTTCTCCGTGCAAGGGCAAAGAATTACCCCCTTCGTAGAATCATGGTCTACCACGACCGTTTGAGCATTATATCTGTGAGATGCCGGGAGGTGTGTGATGAAGTCGCAGGTTGTGAACGCAAATGGTCGGTCCCGTCGAGTAGATTTGATCGGTTGGAGAGGTGGAATAGTTGGCTGATGATTAATTTTTATTTGCTGGCATTTTGCGCAACCTCGGACATAATTTGAGATGAAGGTTTGCATGCTTGGCCAAAAGTATTCGCGTCAGGTGAGTTCTCCTGTTTTCCATTGTCCAGGGTGTCCAGCTCCAGGGGAATCATGGTAGGAGGATACGATGTGGCGTCGTAGTGCTTGATTTGCTGGTATGTAGCATCGTTCCTTATAGAAGAGTAGTCCATCTCTTTCTTCCCATTGATTTGTGTTTGACTTGAAAGGAAATGCGTCTGTTTTTCCTAGTCGTGCTGATCGTACTTGTTCAGCAATGTCATCATGTGTAAGATGTTTTTGAATGTCTTCTGCCAATTTATAATCCACGCTTGAAGTGGGTGCTTCGATTTCGATGTCAGAAATGATTGCTTCTTCGGTGAATAATGAGTCTGGTAGGAGGATTGTGGCGACGAATTTGTCTTCGAGTAGTAACACTTCTTCTGTATTGTCAAATTTTGCATCAGCTGGTGCAGAGGCTCTTGTCATGGCGTCCGCTTGGATGAGTCTGGTGTCTGCATGGTGTTCAAGTTCATAATTGAACTGGGACATGAATAGCTGCCATCTTGCTTGTCGTCTATTCAATCGTTGTGGAGATCGGAAGTACGTGAGGTTCTTGTGGTCGGTGAGGATCTTTGTGGCGCTTGGGTTTCCTTCTAGGTAGTGGCACCACGCTTCGAGCGCTCGTACTATTGCCAGTAATTCCCTATCGTAGATTTTGTAGTTGCGTTCTGCTGGGTTGAAGGATTGGGACAGGTAGGCGACTGGTAGCCAATCTCCGTTGATATCTTGTTGTCGGAGTACTGCTGCTGTTGTGAAAAGTGATGCGTCTGCTTCAATGAGGAATGGCTTTGTGGCGTTCGGCATTAATAGAAGAGGCGCCGATGTAAATCGTTGTTTTAGCGTCTCGAAAGCCTTCTGACATTCGTTTGTCCAATTGAACGGCTTGTCTTTCTTGGTGAGTTCATTGAGTGGCTTTGCAATGTCTGAATAATGGTCGATGAAGCATCGATAGAAGTTGCTGAACCCTAGAAATCCTTGAACTTGTTTGACGGTAGTTGGTATCGGCCAGTCCAATATTCCTTTGATTTTGACTGGGTCCATGGCAACTTGGTTGTGTGATACGAGTGCTCCGAGGAATTCGACTTGCCATGCATCAAAGGTGCATTTCTCAAGTTTGAGGAAAAGGTCATTATCGCGGAGTCTTTGAAGGATTCTTCGTGTCCTCTTTCTATGTTCATCTTGATTGGATGAATGAATAAGCATGTCATCCATATAGATGACTAGCCATCCTTCGTTGACCATGTCGCGGAATAGGTCATTCATCATTGCTTGGAACATTGCCAGGGAGTTGCATAGTCCAAAGAACATGACTGTTGGTTCGAATAGTCCTCTGTTCGTTTTGAAGGCTGCTTTCCATTGATCTCCATCTTTGATTCGTACGTTGTTGTATCCTGCTCGTAAATCAAGCTTAGTGAATATGCTGGATCCTTTGAGTTGATCGACAAGGTCTGAGATGAGAGGAAGTGGGTATGCGTTTTTGATAGTGCCATCGTTCAAATACCGGTAGTCTTGGCATGGTCGTAGTGTTCCGTCTTTCTTTCCTACGAAGAAGAATGGTGAGGCCATTGGTGATTTTGATGGTCGTATGTAGCCTTTTCGCATATTCTCATCGAGGAATTCGTCGAGTTTCTGTTGTTCCAATGGAGATAACGGATAGACTTTGCAATCTTTGGGGATGAAATCTGGTTTCAGGTCGATGGCATGGTCGTATGGTCTTGATTCCAGAAACCGTTCGGCTGCTTGCTTTTCAAAGACGTCTTGATAGTCTTGATAAGCAGTTGGTAGTTCGTTTTTTGTATTCTCCGTTGCCTGTTGTGCCATTGCCATTGCCAGGTTGATTTTTGCATTAATCCATAAAGATGCTATATCTTTGGCCATTTCATCTGGTTCAGTGCGCATGGTGTATGCGAAGGAGTCTCCTGGGGTGTATGCAAGGATGTAGTCTTCTTCTTCGCATTGTTCGGCTTGTAGGATGGGTTCTGAGGCGATTATCGAAGCGATGTGTACAGACCGGTCCAGAGGTGCTCCTTTTCTGAGAAGATGTAGTACGTGTCGAGCTATTTCTTCTGGTCTGGCTTCTTGTATTGTTTCGGTGTCGGTAGACCCAAACCCCTTTGATCCTTGTTTGGTTCCTGAGTTCTTCCTCCTCCTCCATTTCCTCTGGAGTGAGAGGTAGTCTTGTCGATCCTTCCCCTTTGTCTTCCTCGTCTGAGCTTGTCCCATTCTATTTCTGCGTTGTCCAGCTTGAGTGCTTCTTCTTGCCATCCTTGGAGTGTGGTTGGCTTCTTCTCTCGTTGGATGAGAGTCTTTGCAAGGACAGATTTGAGTCCTCCTGTATAGGTACGTTGGAGGTAGGTGTCTGTGCTCGGGTTATTGTACTTGGCTTCTTTGACGAATCGGTTAAATTCGACGTTGTAGTCATTGACTGAGTCGAAGTCTGACTGCATTATTCTGTCGAGTTTTACGATGGCGTCGACTTCGCTATCCACCTTCTGAAAGGCTTTGGCGAAGTCTTCCTTGAATTTGGTCCATGTGGGCCAAGTTGTGCTGGCTTCGTATTCATCAAACTTGGTGCGACACCAGTCGTGTGGCTTCTTCTCGGTGTTGTTGAGTACAAAGAGAATTTTCTTTGCATCCTTGGTTGTGTCTTTGCCTTTAAAGTAGATGTCGCAGTCTTTCAGGAAGTCCTGAATTCGCTGTGTGCCATCAAACTTCTGGGGCTTCGGAGTAGAGGTATGTTCGTTTGCTTTTTGAAGTGCCTCAATCATTTCTCGCATGAGAGTATTTGTATCTGTCATTGTGGAGGGTGTCTGAAGTTGTCTGGTAACTTTGTATATTTCTTCCTGTCATTCAGGTGGGATGGGTACGTCGAGATTCGGGAAGGGAATATCGAATGGTTCGAGTCTGATTTCTTAGTGGTTGAGGGTCCGGTCCTAAGGACCGGTTGGGACTGGGACTCAGACTGAGACCAGACTGATTAGGACTGGGTACAGTCCAGTCCTACATCAGTCCGGTCTTGGTCACAGTCCTTGGTCCCAGATGGCCTCGGATACCTTAGGACTGGTCATGACTAGTCAGGACCAGTCACGGACTGATCAAAAGTAGTGGTTTATCTGGCTCAGCTTGGCCCAGAATATGACGGCTTTGGCTCAGCTTCTCCAAGCTTGGGCTTGCAAAAGCCCAACTCAAGCTGCATGCCACTGCAAGCCATAAGCTAGTGGCTCAGCTTGGGCTTGGCCGCAGCTTGCATCCCAATTAGGCAGGTGCTGTGGATTGACCTTGTCAACAGTTCCACGGCTGCCACGCATAGACACACAGTTATATACAGCATGTAAATGGTTTGCTTCTGTAGTATATATTCTAAATACATGCTTTGAGATGTAATATAAATGTAGAATGCCAATAAATTCGCTCAGAAACTCAAGCTTCATACAAACAAGAAAATCATTGTAATACTGGTATTGCCGGCGCATCTTTGCATTATACAATATCTTGGCTACTTGTATGAGTTTATATCATTATTGTTTAGAAGAGCAAGATCTCAAGGTCCCTGATTGCAAGCCTCCTGCACATTTAAGATTGTCTCAGCAAGATCCTGGGCCAATTCAAGTTCCTCTGCCTTCATCAAGGAAGACAGGAGAAAGAGAGGATGCACCAGATGAAATGCACAAAGGTGGCTGCACACAAGTGGAAGACAGCAAAAGCTGACATGATGCAGCAGGCACCTGTCACAGTTGGGAGTGCCAGGGTGCCAACAAGCTGCAGAAGGTGCAGCACTGCAACGTTCTATGTGCACCTTTGAGTGGCTGCACCCAGATGGACCATCTCATACCTATCTGAGGGTTTGTCCACCAGTGTGCATATTGTGAAATACCTCGGCGTGGACACCCTGGAGGTGGCATTAGGCTATCTGGAGGCCTCATAGCACTCCACCATACTCGCACATCACCAGGCTACCCCAGCTCATAGGCTCTGATGCCACCTCACACTCCAGAGAAGCCAAGCATGGTACCCCGACCATCTGCTGGCTTGAAATCCATAACATTTCCATGCACGCTAGCTAGCTTGAGGGTGCCACTTGTACATGAAACTCTAAGTTGAAATTGGTTGATTTGTGTGATATTTACCAGGGGAGGACTGGTCTGAACTGGTCTGAACTGGTCTTAGACTGAATTCAGTCCTAGACTGGTCATGGCTGGTCTTGGACTGCAAGGAGGACTGCACAGGACCAGGACCTGGTCTTAGTCCGGTCCTGCACAAACTTGTGCTGGTCCTTGACCGGTCAGAGTCCTGGTCCGACACAATTTCTGAAAAAGACCGGACTGGACCAGACCCTCAACCACTATGATTTCTGGTACCTGAAGTGATCCTTGTACTTCGGGTGTTTTGTCGTCTACTTCGATAGAGGTAGAGGTTTCTGCCCTGCTGGGTGCTCGGCTATGTCTGCGAGATTGATCGTATGGGTGTGGTGTCTGTGGTCTGGATGGTGGTACGCTGGCGGATAGTTGAGTTACTTGTTGGGCTTGTTCTTCTCTAAGCCTGGCTTCTTCTTTAAGCCTGTCCCTTTCTCGGATGAATTCTTCTTGTGCTGGTTTGCAGAGGACGAGTCCTTGTGGTACTCGTACTGTTCCTTGGTATGCGTAGTATCGGTTGGGGCAGAGTTGTTGAAAACAACGTCTCCAATGTCCTTCGTCGTATCGGTTGTAGTCGTGCCTATTGTCAGGCCTAAGGTTATGTCTGTGTGCTGCTGTGGCGCAGTCGTTCACCCCAGTTGCTTGTGGAGTAGTCGTCTTGACTATTCTTCGTGGTGTAGACCTGTCTTAGGTCCGCCTTGTTGATAAGCTTTCAGCTAATGTTATGACAGAGGTTTCTTAGCAAGCCTGAAGCTTGTCTGATCGCCTTATCCGCAGATGAGGTTAGAGCAGAATAAAGAAACGTGAATATACGAAAGAGCTGAAAGCTGGGGTGCTACTGTACATGTGCGGGGTATTTATACTACTGCTCAGCCTAACCTAAGGACTAGTCTACTAGTCAAAGGGACTGCGGGTGAGTCAGTGAAGCTGCGCTCTATGAGTCGACGAAGGCAGTACTACTAAACTAGAGTCAGAGACGAAAAAGGAAATGATATCCCATGCCACCATGCCCATCATAACAGTACCGCCATACTCAGGCTGCTGAGGAAACTTTACAGCCCTCGCGCCGGGTAGTGGCGTGTAGACTGCCCACACAGCCGGCGGCGCTCCAATACTAGCTGCTAAGTATGGAAACAACGATGCGCATGGCCGGCACGCCCGAGTAAGCTTGCGTTGCTACCCCGAGCAGTGTTAACTTGCACCCGCTTCATATTTGTTGCCAGACGAACAGCGTGACAAAAAGTGTGTCGTTCGAGTGTACCAGAACTTACAGTACTAGTATTACATGATAGCGGCAGAACATCAAATAGACAATAAAACGGCTGCCAAACAGCAGTGGGGCGGATACGCCGATGGCGGCGAGAGACTACGCAGCCTCTACCGCGCTCGTCCTCTTGTGTGTCTCCTCTTCTTTCACCGCGCCTACCTCGAGGTACTCCTTCCTAACGTCGTAGACGTAATCCACTTGCTCGTCCTCGTGGTTTGTCTCCTTGGCCATGCACAGGATGAAGAAGGCGGATATCCGCCGTCCAGCTGGCAAGGTGTTTGTCCAGCAGCAGCGTCAACCCTGCGTCCATGCCGGGCGGTCCCGCCGAACCTGCGCCCTGCACGGCCTTGTAAGGCCTCGCGAATGGGCGGGCATGGGTGGGTCGTCTTTCGATATCGCTGATCCTGCTGCCTCATTGAACAAAGCCAGACGTGTGTGCAGTCGGAGCGGCCAATGGGACGACAGTCTCGCCAGCTCCTGATGTCGCAGTTCTGCTTGGACCAGGCAAGGCAATTTATAGCGTACCGACGGAAGTTTTCAGTCCAAGGACTGAGGTATTGTGCAGCCGCGAGTACTTTGGTCGTTAAGGTGTTGAATCATTCGCTTCTTTAAGGCGTGCTCAATTCTACATGGATGGGATGGGATGGTTTCGAGCCAGCACACGGTGGCTGTGGCTTTCCCGTGATGGCGTAGATTAGCCGTGAGACATGAATCAGAAATAGATCTGTTTCTAACCCGCCATTCCGCTCTCGAGTCCCGCCTGCTTCCAAAACAAGTAAGTCTATTTGTACGAGACAAATAGAGGACGGGGGGCAGTTTGCTCAAGGCGCTGTATATTCTGCAATGGAGAGAGAAGAAAGTGGATTTCTTGAGGCAGGTATACACCACAGCAAGCCAATGCTTCTTTTCGCTGCGCAATACTCAGGCGTCATCGACCACTCCAATGCAGTTGTAGACTTTGACCGAGTGAGCCTCTCAAAGCTGTTATCCCGCAAGCAAACAACAACCCCATGTTCCGCAAAATCCAAGTAATATGCTCAGAGTCAAGTTATGCCATGGGAGCTATGCAAAATTAGTGAGTCGCGTCAGGAGTGTCTGCACTGCACTTGCGAAAGCAGATGCACGCTGACCTGCTGGTCGAGCACCTGGTGGCCAACTCCCTGGTACAGCGCCCGGCCCTGTTTCCAGCGTAGAGTGTGCTAGGATACGGGCCATATACTGGGACCTGTGCCAAAAATTTCTGTTGAGCCAAGCAAATATCTTCCCAAACTAATTGATGTATTCAGCATGTGGTTGTAAGGCCATGATACTTATTAGCAAGTGAGCTGAAGAGTTACATGATTTCGTATGAAGGCTTGAATGTTATTGGGGTCAACACTCGGGGTTCTTGAAATCACTGCTGTCGTCACGAGCCCTTCGCGTGATGTGCTTGTCGCGGTGCCCGCAGCCTGTCATGGTCTATAGGCATATGTCGGCATTATAGAACCTCTTCCAGGCACCACTCTGTAATATTGTCCTGATTCCTCTCTCTCCATTGCATACTGGACAGTGCGTTGCGCGAACTATCCCCTCTACCTCACAGTCATTGTGAATGGTCCCTATTTGTTTCGTACAAATAGACTTACTTGTTTTGGAAGCAGGCGGGACTCGAGGGCGGGATGGCAGGTTAGGAACAGATCTATTTCTGATTCATGTCTCACGGCTAATCTACGCCATCAACAGGAAAGCCACAGCCACCGTGTGCTGGCTCGAAACCATCCCATCCCATCCCATCCATGTAAAATTGAGCCCGCCTTTAGGTTAGAAATGTTAAAGTGAGACATGAAGAATTCGTACAACGTGAAAGAGCAGAGAGCAAAGCGCACAAGTGGAAGCAGACACGACGCTGAATACGTAGTGACCTCTGCGGCGTCGAGACATTGACGAGTTTGGCGGCGGGGAAGTTGTCATGCGGATGCGTCGTCGTCGTTGTCGTCGTCAAGGCGCAGCCTGCACACGCCACAAAGCCCGCGTCTACGAGCTTTCCCACACGGAGATCACAGGCGAATGATCCGGAGCGCGCTTCCTCGCTGCTTCTTTGACCGAACTGCACCCCGTCCGGCGGGGGCATTTTGGGTGTGGAAAGGCCACTCCCTACGACGCCGAAATGGCTGCGTTAGCGCGGGGCCTGAACGAGGTTGTACGGGACTTGCCCGGTAGCGTGACTGACATCCACGTATTCGCAGATAACCAGGCGGCGCTCTTGTCCATCCTGGCTGCGGGGCAAGGGCCTGCACAAGGGCTGTCCGTTGCGGCCTGCCAGTCGGTCCGTCCCTGGCTGACTGCGTCGCCCGCGCATCACGTCCATGTGTGGTGGTGCCCTGGTCACAGGGGGGTGTATTGGAATGGTGTGGTCGACAAGGCCGCCGGTCTTGGGGCTGAGCTGTTGGACGAGGTGTCCTTCGCCTATGCGCGGCAGTGCATCACTGCCGATGCCTATAAGGTGTGGCGGGCAGATATACACCGCCTGCCCTACCGTGGGCGCAACAACTTGATGCAGGTGTCTGACTTCGAGCGCTGTAAGCACACTTCGGCCAACTGGTTCCTGCGGACGGCAGGACGCAGCACCACGTACATGGCGCGGCTGATTCGGTTTGCGAGCGGGCACTTTCCGCACGGTGCGTTCCGCGAACGTTTCAACTTCGAGGGGAACCGGCGGTGCTGGTGCGGGGCAGATGTCGAAACTCGCGACCACATTTGGTTTGACTGCGACTTGTGGATCAAGAAGCACAAGCCCCCGGACGCCGAGATCGAGCGTATGCGTTGGGGCGAGCGCGGTGTCCATGCGGCCTTGGATCTCCTCCCCCCTACGCCGCCAGGCATGAGTCTGCTGGAGCACTTCCTGCAGGACTGGCGAGAGACGCCGATCGCTCTCGACGACGTCGCGGAATTCCTGCGCCTCAACCCGATTGTGGGCACCTTCACCTGGCTGGAGCTGGTCGACCAGGCCTTGGGGGATCGGGCGCGCGGCGAGGACGACTCCCTGGCGCTCCTCAAGGTCGACCTGCACACGGTGCGGCGCAAGGCCGCGTATGAGGCATGGTATGCTGACCACCCTAAGGGGGACCTCACCGAGTTTGTTCAGTCGTACGCCCTAGTGGCGACTCACGCCGTGACTGATGCGTTCGAATTTGACGATGCGGGTGTCGCAGCGCTGCAGGCTGAGTTCGGGCTCGCAGCGGCTAAGGCAAAAAATCGTTGACTTCCCGGAGGCGCCAGGCGGGCAGCTTCACGCTGTCTACCTCGTGCTGGCTTGCGTTCTCTCCCACTTTCCCCTCTCTCTTCTTTTCCTGCTCTGTTTATTCGATTGTGTGTGTCTGTCTCCCCTGGTATGTAATTATTAGGTGCTCATGTGCCCCGTTGTACGCACTCTAAACCCGCGGATTTTTTTTAAAAAAAAAAAGACCGAACTGCACCCGTGTCATGCTCGACATCATGGGGCACTGCCTAGTCGCACTGCTCGTGGGTATCAGCGGCCGGCCTGGGGCATCGGTTACCACACATACAAGTCCGCATGCCACGAACATCACTGCCGATCAGAGCGGGGTGAGCACCAGATGCACGAAGGCCATCGAAATCGCGACACACGCTCCCAGTCGTGCGTCGCTCCACTGCGATTCCGACGCATCGCGGATTCGGAGATTCGGCCACATGCGTACCCAAGAGATGGAGCATTTCATCTAGTGACAGTGGTGAGTCTGCAGCCATCCTGGGAACTTTGATGAAGCAGAATGGCAATAGCGGGCCTCAAAGCGAAAGAGACGGAAGCGGCGTGTTTGTTCCGTGTAGTCGCTCGCTCCACCCCAGCGACCGTCGCGGGAGACTCGTTGGAGCTCATTAACGAAATGACCTTTTGGGGCAGATGATTCATCAACATGGATTCCTGGGGGCATCGCCTGGGGGACACCGACGAGAATCTGAGGGCGGCGCAGACGCATGGCGTAGAACCAGCCGGCGTCTTGTGCCCGGAAATTTCACGATCTAGGTAAATCGATTGCGCCAACGGACGCACAAGACAACATTAAGATGCTGGCCGGGAAAGCCCTCAACTTTATCCGCCATGCTAGCCAACAAATTGGGTTGGGCAACGAAAAGAATCGCAATGGTATTCAGGCCAACCTGTGCTAAGCATTAAAGGTCTGCGAGAGGGACATGGACATGGTCATAGGTCGGCATGGATCGGCGCTCGAGGAGTTGGAGGTTGGTAGCGATTGGGCACCAGTGATCTTTGCCGTAGCGTGCGGCATAGCCTGCAGTCAGGCCCTGGCAGTGCCACTGGTTACCAGCGCATGACCCGGCAGCTTACGACCCACCCCAAGTTCATGCAATCGTTAATCATTGCGTAGTCAGCGTGTGCGTTCCCAGAGTGAAGGTCCAGCCGCGCCAAACGCGTGCTTCGTCGACAGTGAGGCTATTTGTAGCGACGGAAGCTGTTGCATTTTTAGCGCAAGAATGCTAGCATATATGTGGGTTGATAAACAGTGGTGGGCTTGCTTTGATCTTCGCCACTATCCCGTCTCTCCCTTGACGCGAACATCCCGCGGCTGTTCATCTCGATGTGGTCCGGGCTTCGGCGTTTCAGCATGGTTGATCAGACTCGCGGCATGCGAAAGACAGGCCAGCCGTAGAATACCCGCGTGAGCAGAGATAAGGTAGTCATCCAGGACCGTACTCACACTCGAGAGTTCGAGCATGTGTGGGACGGGCCAGCCGGAAGGATATATCGACGGCTGTTTGGAGCTTGCGCTTTCGTGCGAACAGATACATGCCATTGTGTTCTGCCAGCACTTTGTGCACCACGATCGTCCGTGGCGGGCGTGAGTAGGTCTTTATATATCCGACAACCGCTTTGTACGCCGGCGCGTGGATGGACACCACGCGGAGATGGTGTCAATAAAGTGCTCTACAAGGCTGAGCTGAGGCGGAACGAGCACATGTTCGTTGTGGTGTACTTGTACTGGCATTTGTTGAATCATGTCAAGAAGAGAAGGGGAATCTGAGGAGTGGGTTGAGTGCCACAAACGGGTCCGTGCGGCCGCTCGTCAAGACGTTCGTGTTGTAAGGGTGAAAAATCTTGTAGCCTTCCAGTCGCGGGACAGTTACAGAACAGCTTGTGTATTCGGCAGGCCGGGGCTCCTCAGTTCCCATCTTACATCCATTAATAAGCATATTCTTCATGCAATATCAGTAACGAGCTAGATATATGATACGCAGTACACGCACCTTGATATCCTACTCACGCTCGTGGTCCCGCTTCTCCGCTCTGCCCTCTACCCTTATCCCTTCTACCGACATCTGTACTCAACATAAGAGCCCATCGCATTCATACGTCACCTGCAGTGATTTCTCTCCGCCCATTCGCAGCTACTGAGCCACTTGGTCCGCCCATTGTCATCGCTGATGGCGGCGTGGGGTGCCTCTACCTCCATACGATGACTATACGTCTTCCCAGTGCCCTTCTCAGTCTCCGTATGACGTATATGAGGTGAGTGCATGGGTATTTCGATACAAGCAAGCACGCTTGTGTGTTCCGCAAACTTGTGAGCCTCGGCTGGCGATGCACGTTCAAGTTGTAACGTCCAGATGAGCCCGTCTCACAGGGTTCAACACGAAAGTGCTGTGGTAGCTTCGATTAAAACGGCGTAAAAAGGTAGCCAGCTGTTCGTTTGGGCCTAGGAGATGGCAGAGCGAGAGACAATAAATGCGTGCGACTCGGATGCGCGAGAACAGAGCAGAGACACAGCGCACAAGAACGACCTAGTAGATCCGTACAGAAAGACGGCGATGTTAGGGAGTATAGGTGCTAAATTATCAGCGAGCTTAGCGACTGCGTGGGTCAACATGAGTCCGGGACGACGAAAGTGGTCGTTGGGAAAGGAGCAAACGCCACAAAGTCCGCGCTGGTCCTCCGCGCGGGTTAAGCGCCCACTCCCTACATGCTCCCACGCTGCTTTGCCCTTTACTCGCCTAACATTACACGTATGCTTGTGCCGCACAAACGATTGGTATACGCGGCTGCCTCATGGCCTTGTGGGGCGCAACAGCGCATTCCCAGCCACGGCACCCGGCGTGACCACACGACCAAGTAGAGAATCCAATTTGGCGAGGCCTGTTCCTCTCGATTCTCGAAGAATTTCACCTCGGCTCTACGTACAGCCTGGAAACACGCACGGTGCAACTCTTATGCATATCCTGTCCGGATTCCCAGACACCCGGCGGATGCGACGTCCAGCTTGGACAGAAGGCGGTGTTACCGATCGAGTGGCAGGGACGAATGGCCCAGGGTCGTCGTGATCTATCACTCGCGGCGAATGAGAAACACTACAATGATACGTAGCCATCGACTATATCAGAGATGAAGCTGCGGCGAGCGTCAATGGGGACAAATTGCACAACTTGAAGAGGCCGTTCGGCGTCCGCTACCGCGCCTAGAACTCTAAAATTGTGGCGCCTCCCTATAAATTTCTGTCTATCTCGTCTCTAGGAAGGTTAGGAGTCTAAGAGGTATATATTGCATCTCAGGGAAGTCTGGGCTTATCCGCCAACGTGTACGGCACCGGGAATCGCCGAATAACTGGGGTATTGTGATGACTCATATTTGTGCCCTGGATGTCTCGTGGTGCTCGCCCTGCGTCAGGAGAACTTTGCCTGCACGCGTTCCCTCTGATATGGGATGGAAAGATAGGCTAATTGTTCCTTTTCGAGCTGGAGTGCATGATAATGACATGGGGTGCGGCACAGGCTAGGCCCGATAGGCTGACGTCCGAACGAACACCGTTGTCGTAGCGACACCGATGAAAGGCTCAACAGCACTGAGAGGGAGCCGCATCCGAAGCATGCTGACAAGGCTATACGTGAAGGCGCTTGTATCGACTGAGCGCAGGTTTCAAGTTGGAGCATATGGTACAACGAATAGCAGCCATCAAATGATAGCTGGCGGCACCCGGACGGTGACCCGGTGCGCGGCGTTCTCGCCGCGGACAGATCCAAGAGGCTATGGTATATAACAAGTAGGTGAGCGTGCTATTGGATCTGCGACGACTAACCTTGCACTGACCGACCAGGACCTTCAAAGCGCACTATAGGCAAAATGGCGCAGTCAAATGAAGGTTTGCAGCGGCTGATTCAAGAAGAGTACGAGTCCTCTCTCCCTGTAGTACGCATATTATGACACTGACACAGATTTTATACCTCTAGGCTGACTACAAATTATGTGGGGTGGTCGGTGCTGTGTATGCTGTGACGCCCCAAAGCCCCAATAGCACTCGGCTGAATAGCTTCCTTTCAGCCCTTGTGGTCTACGAATACCTCATAACATTCAACCAAGAGGTTGTTGTGGGGTGGGGACGAAGGATTTCGCTGGCCTCGGTGCTGCTGATCACCACCCGATGGATTATGGTTCTTGGCCCGATTCTACAGGTTACGCCCTCAGCGAAAGCGTGGTGTAAGTCCGCCATTGGTGAAGGATAAGACGACCTCACAGCAGCACTCCACAGGTGTACACTTTGTTCTGCCATAGCAAAGCTTTCCCTCATAAGTTGCTGCGTCTGTCACAAGGTGCAGACCGGCATACATACTGAGCACGCTTGTGTACTTGACAGGCACAGTCCAAATCTCATGTGAGTACAATCGTACTTACTGCCAAACTACATCATGTCAGACCGGTCGTTTGTGTAGTGTTCTCCGCCCTGCGTGTGTACGCACTCTGGCACGGTTCATGGATGAAATATGTCTTTCTCGTCATTATACTCATACTCGGACTAGTAGTCCCACTTGGAACAAATCTGGTATGCTATTCTTTCACAACTTTAACTTATGCAATCATCTTACTGATTTGGACTTAGTTCAGATGGGCGCGGACTACAATTGTATACACGACCACTCCACCGCAGCTCATTGAATGTGCGGCTAATACCACTTTCATGCCGAAGCTGGTCACGGAGTATGTGCGGACCTGCTGCACTACTTGACTTCATGCTAACTTCAAAGTTTCTTACTAGACGTGAGTCAGCTTTGTCAAGTTTACATTCTTATCCGTTGTGTACATGTGCTGTGCAGTGCTCTATATTACAAGATGCAGCTTGACCGCTGTCGACATCATTGTCCTCGTGCTGACGTGGGTCAAGTCGTTCAAGCAGTTTAAGGACATGCGCCGTCTTGGTCTCAAATTTTCTATCTCAGCTGTGCTGCTCCGAGACGGTAGGCCTCTTTCTCTCGTGTATTCCATGCGAGATAACTCATGCAGCACTCTTTTAGGCACCCTTTATTTTATGTAGGCTACTGGCAGAAATTATCAATCTTTCCAATCACTTGCCTGACATATGAACTCTCAGCGTTCTGCTAGCTTTCAACATTTGGGATATCCTCACATACTCCAATAGCAATTTCGCTGAAGTGATTAGTGCCGGAACGTACTTATATCCTAAATGGTCCTGACTCTCCGTCTACAGGGCAACTACGCAATCAACTTCACAGGATATCTCGTAACTATTCCATAGGACGGGATAGCAGAGATATCCGTTGACTGACCAATGCTATTTACAGCCTCCATTGCTGGTGCAGCGCTTCATCCTCAATCTCCGTCAACTCGACTACGCCGCAAATGAAAGTAGCTCGGATGCACAGCACTCCTCTCACTTCTCTGTCAGATTCGGAGTGCCTTCAGACTTTCTCGGGAATATTGGCGAGCCTCTGGACCACGGCCAATCGGAGCGAGTTGAGGGCGATGATAATGACGAAAGCTGCGCAGTAGAAGAGTCACGGAACGGACCTGAAGTGGTTTTCGCACTACACCAGTCGGGTCTGCGGCACGACCCGATAGAACCCGACACCGCTCAAGTGCTGCGGTCTGCAGAACGTGCAAGTGAAGAGGACACCATCGAGTCGTCTGCCCACCCACGTGTAATGGTGGCCGGCCCGGGATCTTCCACGTCTGCCTATTAGTAGGTGAGTACCCCGCCCTAGCGCCACACTCTTCTACGGCGGCTTGACATACACTTATTCAAACAGATCTCGATGTACGCCCAAGCCATGACGGCACGACAATCGATAGTTGCGGAACTGCCCGACACCGGCGTCGTCTCTCAGTTTGTATATGTACCAGTTACTTCAATTTCACTCCCAATATCTGTATTCCGCGGATTTCATGCCAATTATCTATTTCTGTAAACAAATGACGGCTCATATCGCCTTTTGAACCCCTGATCGACGTTTGCTCAGCAGTGCCAATACCACGCTTGTCTCAAACAAGATTACTACTAGGCCTGCCCTTTCCGCAGCCTTGCAAAGCCACTATACATACGCGAGCGTGAACGAATCGTTCAAGAGTAAATTCGAGCTGGAAGACAGCCCAAACACTCCTGAAGTTCTCTCTTTATCTTTCACAAGCGGAAAACTGATCCCAATGGCTCCTGGGCAGATCAAAGGAGTGCTATCGCGATATCCAGGCCGTCTCTCGCGAAAATGAGGACGATCAAGCGCCTTGCGCCTGGGAGCTGCACGGTCGAGATGAGCAGGATCTGCGGAAGAACACTGGGATGTCGGCAGAGTAAGGTCAAGAATCTCGCCCGCAGCTTCTCCGTGGGCGACGACCGGCTCCCGGGTAGCCCGGGCCTGTCGTGGGGTCCAGACTCGGGACATGTAGGATGATGCGGGAGGAGAGGTTCTAGGTCCTGCTTCGAGCCGACATGTCCGACGATCGAGTCGAGCAGCTTGGTAGATTGATGCCTGAAGGCCTGAACGAGCGCTGCGACTTGGTGGCATTAATGAGGGGCTCCACAACGCTGAGCGAGTGAAGCAAGGGAACATACCTGTCGAGAGCCGGCTTGCACAGGCATATTCCGATACGTGTTGGCAGTGAAATGAGGTTCGATCAGAGTGCTCAGTGCCATGTCTCGATCCGTGAGGCTGTACGCAGAGACGTTCACGTCAAGCGCAGGGGCCTCGAACACCCTTTCGGCGGCGGCGTCGCCCACCGCAGCAGGCAAGCTGCTTGTAGTGGAGCAGTTATAGAGTGACGAGTCGTTCATATGGTGAGATTGTATTCTCTGAGGTTTCATGTGTATGCATTTGTTACGGGCCTAGCCTCTGCGCGGGGTCAGGAGCGGAGCATGAACGTCCAAGAATTAACGCACCTACCGAGCCCTCGTCCTCGGAAATATTTGTGCCCACGTCCGTGTCTCTCTGCTCAGCCCTCTGCCTCAGCTCTTATGACACCGCTTGTGATTACTCAGAGAACCCTCGATGCCGCCTTCCGCATCCTGCTGTGCCCATTCCATCTGTTGTTCGTCTTCGCTGACGGTACGGTATGGTGCCTACTCAGGCCAAGCGTCGTTCTGTATTGCAGATGCGCGGCATTCGTACGCCAGCGAGCAGTGCTGAGCAACAAGATCACGGACGTGTCTTGATGCCTGCGAGCACGCAAATGTGCTCTACTGAGTCATGTGACTTTACAGCGAAATCAGAATAAGTGGGGTGTCTGATACCTCACGATCGAGAACTACGTACATCTTCGCCTCCCATGTTTGCCTTTGCATCCAACGCGGGCATCGCTAGTACCGAGCGGGTGCTGAGCACTCGAACGCTGGAACGTTGTACAGCGCAGAGTTGACGTAGTCTTGCTAGCCGGTCCTCGGTGCTGCCTAATGCGCTCCCCACTGGTAGAGTAGTGCGCGAAAGCTTTCGGTGCGGATAGCAAGACAACAACCTTGCTCGTCCCGGATGTTGTGTTCCTGTGGCGCCGCGCACAAACATAACCGAGGCCTAGCAAGGACAGGATTGAAACCTGTGTAGTATTGTGCTATTATTTTGCTGAGCGGTGACGGAGGTCAGACGGAGGTTGTGCGGCAAACGCCACAAATTCCGCGCCTAGCTACGAGTTGCTCACGTGAGTCACCAGACTCACCACAGCCTTTTGCGTAAACGGCAAAATTGACTACGCGTTTGTCGTGCTTGCGGAGCTCTACTCTCTAACGTTGACGTTGAACGTCTGAACGTTGAGCGCCAAGCTTTGGTATGAAAGAGATTTCAGCCTGGGAGAGACTTTGGCCTACTAGGTTCAGTCACTTGAGAGGTCGCCGGGCTCATGCGAGCTGGTGGAGGCGGCTGGGAAAGGAGCAGTCTGCAGATGCCACAAAGGCTGCGCCTGCGACCCTCCCGCGTGGATGCTCCCCTCAGATTTTAGATACTACCGCTCTTACCGCCCGCCCTTTCGCACGGCGCATACTACCACTCAGTGGATATCACAGGCGAAACCCGTATCTAGCCTCCATCGTACATTCCGCGGTGTGATGATGTCGAAATTTTCCAGGGGCGAGTGAAAGCACATGAAGAAGCGAGGGACTATTCGGCGGGCAGTGTACGACCGGACCATGTGCATGAATACGCTGGGATGCTTGATGCCGGCGTTAAAGAAGATGGGTAGTTTGTTTTATTTGTTGCGCCCAAATTTCGTCTCTGCCATCCATCTCAATCCCGCTCTCATTGTTTGTGTTCTGCTAGGGTTTATACTAATTATCTATTGTTGCAAGTAATACGACGGCAGGCCTCATCCCATCCCCGTTCTGATTGATGTCCGTTCAGCAGCAGCACCAGTGTCACGTCTATCCCGAACGAGTCTCTAAAACCTACTATTTGTATTGCCTTGTGGGGCCCTGCGAGATGCGCGAGCACGATCCAGCACAGAAGCGCCCTGTAATCACGGAAGTCGGTATGAGCGCCATGTCAGCATCCATACTGTCCTGGAAGTACAGAGGAGGAAGTGCACATTAGAAAGGAGCGAAATCTTGCTCTTGCAGTTGCCTTGTCGTACTTAATGCCGTGGTACTTGACGTCGCCGCAGGTGAAGGTGAGAGCGACTTGCCACAAGAATCTGGCGGCCGCGATGATGACCAGCTCGATGGCGGAGACCGCGAGCCGAAGTGGATGTGCTGGTAACATGACGTTTTTTTGCTGTCAAACACGACAGGATCAGTCATGACAGCGTCAACAATCGCGCCCATGCCCTAAAGACAGGCAGAGGTACATAGGCCAGAGCGCCGAATGCACTCGACCTCGAAGGTGAATAGCATAGATAGAAAAGTAGGTGTGCGCTAGCACTTCACAGGGATCCACGCCGATGGACTTTCTGTGTGCTTGGGCTTGTTGGCGGGCTTGGAGGTTGCGCCCATCGTGACGGACGAGATACGGTGACGAAGCCAGGAACACAGTGGCCGCGCTGACAAGTGCGACGATTAGGAAAACCTGAAAAGCGGTGTCGGCATAAGAGAATTCTAGCACGGTTCTGAGCCACTCATGATGTAGGTGGACATAGAGACAACGCTGAAGCTTCTGCCTCATGTTAGGACAGGAAGAGAAACGATATAGCCAGGGCAGTGCCAAGCTAGTAGGGCCGCGCACACGTTGAGTACATTACTTCATCAATTTCGTAAGAATGACTCGTTATTATCAGCCCCTGGGAGAGTTATAGGAGCAATGCCGTGAAACCGAGAGCGGCGCCCGTGAGACAGGGAAACCAGCGGGCAACATGCACTTGGAAGCTGTGTGGCTGAGATGAACGACACAGGCAATCTTCCCGGTTCTGCAGGAGAGTATCAAGGTCTCAGCCGAGAAGGCCGATAGCCTCATCCGTAGCTCCTACGATGGCGCAGGCATACAGTGGTAACTGCACCAATTGAGAAATCTAGTCTCGGGACGTGCAGATTGATGTGGGCAGAGAGCGGAGCCGCAGCGACATCCGAGTCTGTTCGCGATAGGCTTGCCAGAGATCTGGCGAGGAGAGCGGGCGCAGATCCCAACAGCTCTGTAGAGGAAGAGAAGGTTGGCAACAGGGTTCGAACGGTCTCCGCCGCGGCGCGGAACATAGCCCACTCCAAGCTCTGGTATAACGTCAGTCTTCGTGCCAAATCACAGCTGTGTGCGACTTACGATGCGGTTAACAATTCAGCGAGCGTGAAGCGGCCACCCAAAATGGAGCGAAGACCAAGAGCTTTTCGCGCTGGCTTCGCGGCCAATGATTCGGCACTCAGAAGTGCGAGGAAATGCAGTCATGTCGGTGCATCCGCTCAGAAGCACAAACGTGAGCAAGCATATCGTGCTTCAGCTCGACACACCCCGACTGTCGCGTTGGGCAATTCGGTGATCTGGCGCACGAGGTGGCGGGCGCTCGGACTTGATGGCACTGATGAAGGACTCGACGACGCTGAGGAGGCGCATCGTCGGGGGTGCAAATTTATTGATATCCACCGGGACGCGTCGAGAGCGAAATGAGGGGCTCGAGGGTCGTGTTTAGCGCGGTAGACTCGTCCGTGAGGTCGTACGCTGAGGTGTTTGTTTCGATGGAACGTAGAGTCTTGAGGCGCACTACTGCGCTTGGCAGCGGCAGCTGCATATCAAATGGGTATTGAAGCAGACTTGGGTCGTTGAGCTTCGGTCGTGCATTTATCTGCGGGTGTTACTTCCACATAATATCAATATCGGAGCGCAGATGCGTCTCGGTGATACGTGCACCTGCTATTCGTTTCTCCTCGAGGTTACTCGTACCTGTGTTTCCGTCTCCCCATTCTGCTCATCGCAACAAGCTCCCCAGGTGTCACCCACGCCCTGCCCTACAACCCGTGCCGCTTGTATACCGCCTCGATCCGCACCCCTGAATTGGGCCTGGCCCAGCTCCTTCGCAGACTGCTCTCTACGTAACACTCCCGAGCATGCAGAGTCCCTTCATATCGTCGCAATGTCGTCCGTCCTCCAGTGAGTGGTGCATGCTTGACGATGGCGCAGCCGTCCCAGTCTCGCGAACTCGCCCTTCAAGCTGCTCTACTTGCATAAGGGGATAGAGTTCAGATTCACGAACTTATGATAAGAGGAAAATGTGCGCGTCGTTGACGTTCGTGTTCGTCTCCACGCTCCATGTGAACGCTGCTGCCCCGTCATGACGGTAAGCGTGCCCCTTCGCGCCGCGCAGAGCGGGGATCGATACCAACTTGACCCTCAATAGCCCTCATTCCAGTACCCTCCTGACAGAGCTGGACATGGGTGTCCTCGGTGCTGTTGGTGGAATGATTCACCCGCTCCTGGTGACGCGGACCCGCGCAGAGGCGGCGAGGCATCTTGCAGCGTCATGAAGAGTATCGTCGGGCGGTTCTCTGCGCAATATAACTGCTGGGACGACGAGTGCAGCGATATCTGAAGCTATACAATAACGCATTTCATGCTAGGAGACGTCAAGCGAAGTACGAGAAGCTTGGCCATGCAACGTGCGCGTGACCAGAACGAGTAAAGTGCAGGATATGCGAACGAGATTGGGGTTTGGCCGGGCGAGAGAGGCCCCGGCCCAGATACGTCAAGAGGCTGTCAGGCTTCGGCATGCAGGTCGATGAGGGCGGTAGTAGACGCATGCACGACACGAATTTATCTCGGCGTTTAAGCTATTACCCGAACCTCGCGCTAACTCTCCCACGATGGGTAGTCTGGGCGAGCATGAAATGCATGAAGGTCCGTACATGCAAGGGCGCGAAATATGGCGAAAGCGTGCAAAGCACAGTGGAGCAGGGATAGCGGTGAATGCGCCCTGTGGATCGCACACCTTCTGACATTCTCGCATTCTCATCGGCTGCGCCATGCTCCTCGAGACGTCCCATCCCGACGCTAGCGCTGTTCGTCAAGTGACCTCGCATTTCGCCAGGACGATTAAGACAAATACAGACGAGAAAAGCACCGTCTTCCAGTCCGCGAGATGAACATCCGACAGTGGCACTGGCGTCGCGTCTACACAGAACGAACCTGCAGCGCCCGAACTAGACGCTGCCTTGCAGATTTACGCAAAGTCCGCGAGGTGAGCATGTCGTCTGAGGGAATGGATCCGACAAAGTACATCAGCACTCGGTAGCTCACGTTGGAGGAGTCTGCAACAGCGGACAATCAGCGATCGCGCCACAGAGGTTCAGCAGGGAGAAACCTTACAGAAGAGAATCAGCATGCCCTTGACTTCGCATTTGCCACCATGACGCTGAATCGCTTGCCGCTGCTGTCCTTAAATTCATCTAGCTGAAGGTGAGCAGCCACGGGAGGTCAAATGGGCAGACGACAATAATCTCGAAAGTGATCGCTGAGGGCCGAGGTGACCACACCACACGGCCAGAACCGCATCCACCCGAAGCTGATGAAAAAGTGGTCAATCGTGAGCGTGCTCGCGACTGCGCTTGCGAACTCGAGTGATGCATTGAGCCAGCAGGGTCGGGCTGTAGAGCACAGCAGCGTCCACAGACGAAAGAACATTGGTAGCAAAGGAACGCTGGTAGCGGGCGAAGCACGGGAAATTCTTGAGCAGGCAAGCTATTCCATTGACCACTTCGTGCACTTCGAGATTGTCGTTGGGCTTGGCAACCAAGCCATCCCCACGAACGACGAGGTACGAAGACGGGATGAGGGACGCTGGGGACTGCGCAGATGCAGACTACAGCCAAGAAAGACTAGACGGTGGCATAAGCGCGAGACAATTCTGACGAAGTGCAGCGCGACTCACAATGTAGAGACGGCGCCAAGTGCACCAGATCCGTCTTGACCGTATTAAACTTCCGCACTGCCATAGTATCTCACTTAGTGACTGCAACCTTACGCAAGACTTGACTTCGAGAGACCCACACATTTCGAATCGAAGGTCAGCCGATATTGAGTCAATTCCTGCACCAGAACGACTCGACCTTGCCATGCACGACGCGGTGGTCGCAGAGCGAAATCTGGGCGCACATGAGTCGCTGAGTCTGTGATGAGCGTATCCATAGGCCCCTCCGGACTAAGTTAGTAATTGAGCATGTATACGTCTGAGTAGTACACACACTAATTGGCTTCTAGTATTCGAGAGCTACTTGTGTCCACCTTTCTGTCTTCCCCTTCGTCCTCTGTATCAAGCTCCTCAGCGTCGCTTGCCGCCTGTCCCAGAATCTCTCCCGCTTGCACGCCGCCTCGATCTGCTTCCTTGCACCAGGCCGCACCCACTTCTCCTATTGATTGCCTCCGATAGACGTCGCCTGTGAACATGTAGGGTCTTTTTACTTCGTTGCAATGTGGTCTCCACTCTCCGACAGGTGGTGTAGGCGTAGCGATGACGTACTCGTCTTGGTACGCACGAAATCATCCACATATTGTTGTATCTGCAGCAACAAAGAGATGAGGCTTACAGTATCTCAGAAACAGGTGTAAACGTACATCTTCGCCACTCATATGTCTCTATCCCCCACATGAGCACCGCTGCCTGGTCGCGACGCGTGCCTGAGCATCTTCGCGCGCCGACAGCGCGAACTTGAGGTTCTCCTGTTGCGCGAGTCTCGATATCGCCGGGCCTACCGTCCCATTAGCAGAGCCGGATGTGCATGCCGTCGGAGCGGCGGATGAGACGACGGCCTCATCCGCTCCTGATGTCGCAGTCCTGCACGGAGGAGGCGGTTTTTTATAGCATATTGGCGGGATTGCTCAGAGGTACAAGTGCTGGGAAAGTATACAGCCGAGAGTACGTTGGCTGTCAAGGTGTTGAATCATTCATTCTTCAGGATAGAAAGGGTTAAAGTGAGACACGAGAAGTCTGTACGACGCGAAAGAGCAGAGACCAAGGCGTACGAGCGAAAGCGGACATGGCACTAAATGTGCAGTGGCTTTGGTATGGTCAAGACGTCGATGAGATTAGCGACGGTGGAAGTCGACATGCGGGTGGGTAGAGCCCGCGTCTACAAGTTTCCCACACGGAGATCACGGGAGAACGATCCGCGGCGCGCTTCCGCTCCGCCAAGTTCTCATTTTCCTCGACCGAGCTGCACTTGTGTTGTGCTCACGAGATTACAATACTTCAGCCGGTTGCAATCCTCTTGCATCTCAACAGCTACCTTCGCAGAGTTAGCAGCCGCACAGACAGTTCGCATGCCGCCAACACCACCGCCGATCACAGCGGGGCGAACACGAAGATCCAATCACGACACATATCACCGGCTGTCAAAGCTATCTAGCCCTTCATGACGGGGTACGCAGGAGATGTCAGAGCAAGGGACGAGACGTCCGTATGTACGTTACGACGCGGAAGAGAGAGAAAAGTGCGTGAATAGGTCGGGAAAGAAGTTCTGAGTCGGTGACATAGAATACTCGATGGGCTTGGCGGAGGTCCTCAACGGAGGTGGTGGCTGCGAAAGGAGCAGCCTACAAGCTCCACCAAGCCCGCGCTTATAAGGCAGCACAGAAACCCTAACCCCCGGACCCCCTGCGCGTCATGTAAACGACCTGTGCTTTTGAGCCCTGGGACCGTTGCTAGGCTCATGCATGACCATGCATGAACTAGCCTCTTAAATATGGAAAGGATAAGCCACAGGTCCTCCGTCAGCTGCTGCATGACGGGCGACTCTCGATAAAGCGCAGATAATCGAAATGGCCAGTGTCCGGTAATCAGTTCCGCTGGCGGAGATCACATTCGCGCGGGGCAAGAGTCAAGTTCCATGTAAAGCCTAATAAGCAGTTACTATCACACTATACTCCAACTTCCTAGAGAGGTACAGTAATTTACGACACCTGTTTTGCATAGGTCACCGTTCTATGTGTAAGAGACGGTGGCGCTCGGGTCCGAAATTGAGATGGAAGTCAGACATCTTGCTGCTCTGTCCGAAGTCGAACGTTTTTTTCGCGTCCGAGAGGCAAACGTTGCCGTTGCCAGTGTTGGCAGAGGCACCGGTGGCCGTGACCGCGCCGAAGTCGGGAAGCGAGCCAGCGAGCAACCCAACCCTTGCCCATGGTCTTCGACGATCCATTCTACGTCCTACTCGCAAAGCGCGTTGGTCAACGTGATTTTCTGCGTGACCATCTGGCCTCTGCTGTTGTTCATGATGACCGCCGTGCTCGAGTCGTGCTCGTCTCAGCCACAGCGAAGGTGACGCTGTCGCCGGGACCGAAGCCGCGGCTGATGCCTGAGAAGTTGTACGCGTAGTCGGGGTACCGTTGATACCAGCCTGCGTGAGAGAGAAAGTCAGTTAATCATGCGAAGAGATGTTAATGGGGAAGGCGCATGGTAGTAGGATGCCGAGGAGCCAGAAGCGGTTAAATCTGTACGATAGCATCATCGCAAGTGTCGCCGTTGACTCCAGCCCAAGCTCCCACGGACTGTGTACCAGACAATCCCGGGGGCTTCTTCATTTTTAGGACAGTGAACGTCGCATCGACATTCCCGTGCGAACCCTACGCAAATACTTGTATGCGCACACATAACACATGGGCGTGTGAATAGTAGAAGACTTACCGCATACACGTTTAACACAGCATCGTATTACTACGGAATCTAGTACAGTCTTCAATGCCGGCTCACGCCTCGGCGTTGGCCTCATGACTTCCCTCCTCTGCCACTTCTGCGACACCACTCTCTTCAGCACGGAGATCATCGCCCCAGCCATCCTGCAGCGTTCCCCCCACTCTTCCCAACCGATCTGTTGGCCTTCTGAACTGCAGTGACGACTGTCCTTGCTGCTGGTCGCTCAAGTGCATAGAGTAGTCCGACACTATTGAGCCGGCCGTCCGGAGGTTGATGATGAATCGGCTGAGGAGCACCGGGGGCTGCGTGGGTAGTCCGAGTCCATGAGTACAAACAATGCGAACGGAACGTATGGTACGCACCAGGGCTGTTACCATTGCGCTTACTATTGCTATCTCCTTAAGCTCGACGTCAGCTATCTGCTCACGTACTCACGCCGCGGACATACCGTATAGGAGACGTTGTATGTGAGAAGCTGGGCTATATTGAGAGCCAGTAGAGCTCTGTGTCCATTATCGCCTGTGAGAAATTCCTTCCAATGCGGCTGTCTCGTACTCACATGAAATAGGTAGTTCCTGCATGAGTAGCCGGGCTTCAGCAACGGGAATTATGAAGTCGCGTACAGGGCCACTGACCATCGCGCAGCAAACATGTCGTCAGCGACGCCCTCATCTTGAGGCAGCGGGCATTCCTCCATTGTTCAAACGTCTTAATCCACGTTAGGACGAGCACGATAGCGTCAGCGAGGATGAGGGAGCCGCATGTGGTATACGTGACTGTGAACAATTAGCATTACTGCTCGCGACATGTTAGAAGTCTTTGACCGCGGAACATACGTCTATATTGCAAAATTATTATTCTGAAAGCGCATCGCGGGATATGTGTACCCACATGTTAAATGTTCGTGCAGAGATCTGAGACACCTCGATGCATATTGTTCCAAAGAACGGGTCCACATCGAAACTGTACTTTGACACTGCTGCAATGTACTGCATGGATGCGTGAGCTAGACCACATGCAAGGTTCAATCATAAGTGACACGCACTATATTCGTCGCAAATGGCACCATGCTCAACACGAACGTGAGCAGCGACCAGAAATAGCTCTTATCCCAGATTGCTAAGACACGCAAGGCAGAAAAGACTGGCACATGGAATTCAGCGGATATATTTTGATTTGGACAGACTGCGTGATACGTACGTGCGGTCTGGAGTAGTTGAATGACTGGGAATGCCCAGCTCAGGACCTGAAGCGGCTTACAGCTATATGTCAGATTTCAGTAAGCAACCTGCTGCCCACAGACCTTACAAAAGCTGCACTTACTCCTGTATCAAGCACTGTCACAGATTGCACACAGTCAGATACACTCAGAGCTTACATTCGCAGTTGCTGGCGCAATGGTCATGGTGGCCACGAGGAGCATACACCATCGTACTGAGCCAAGGAGCACGGCACGTGCGGTGATAGGTCTCTTCCAAACAATCTCAATCTCGTTGCCAAAGGTGATCAGAAATTCGTAGACAAGGAGACCTGGGGGGGGGGGCAAATATTGTGTGAGCGATGAAATGGAAGATAAATGATGTACTTGCATGCAGTAGCTGCGCAGATATAGTAATTTGTGACTCTACATCAGCAAATCTGCATTCCATATTGGGCATGTCGGCCAAGACACTCAAGACACCTAACAACCAACATGGTGATGTTGCATAACTAGTGATGTGCGGGCCGGGCCTCAAAGCCTCCAAGCCCGCCACATCAGGGAACACCCAAAGGTACGGAAACAGGGCACTTGTACGGAAGCTGTGTAGAATGTGTACCGTGAGTACTATCCTCCGCAGGACTGTGTACATATCAGCACTTTCAATTAATACCTAAACCACACATTTTAATCACAGTCTGGTACAACCTGCTCATTGAACATGGTTGTATGTGGGTGCTAGACTGTATCATGTTGATGAGGCTTGGAAGACAGAGAGTATACATGTTGACAAGCAGCGAAGGTGTGATAAATTAGGCACAAGGCGTGTTGCAAGGAGAGTGAGACATAGATGAGACATATGGCCACGCATGTGGGCGAGCGCGGCCAAACTTCGGCGCAGTATTATCAGGCACTTAATCCCTGCCCTGGATAAAAATGGTGCTATCTTGCGTGACGTGTTTGTCTCTTCGTTCCCCCCTTCTCCTCGATCCGCAGCTCATACCTTCTTGCCCGCAAATGTAGCTAGCTGCTGTTCAAGCTCAAGAACGGCTGCTCACTGCAGCCAAGCATAACAGTGCGCAATAAAACTCTCTTGATGGATGTATAAGCTAAAGGTCTGTGTGTATTCCT